GTCCTCACTATCACCATCAGCATCATCAATATAATCATCATCATCATCATCTCCACCACCACAATCATCATCTCCACCACCACCACCACCATCATCACATCTCCATCACCACCACCATCATCACATCTCCACCACCACCATCATCTCCACCACCACCACCATCATCATCTCCACCATCACCACCACCATGATCTCCACCATCACCACCATCATCATCTCCACCACCACCATCATCATCTCCACCACCACCACCATCATCATCTCCACTACCACCACCATCATCATCACCTCTACCACCACCACCATCAGCATCATCTCCACCACCACCACCTCCATTAATTTTTTCCCCTAGTCCTTTATTACTGATCTGGGGAAAATCTTCTTAATACTTCTCATCTCAATCTGCCTAAAGGAGGCCAGGTTGGGGTGGGGCCTCAGGTGGCAAAGTCTAGCCCTGCCCTATAGCAAGAGAGGACTCCCGAGGCTGGATTCCCAAGTATCTGGGTGATGATGTCATGGTGGCCAAGTCCCGTCCCAGGGTCTCCGCTTTCCCATCTATTCAGTGTGGCGTCAGAGGGTTCCCATGAGGCTCAACATGGGTGGTTGCTGAAAGATACTTTGTAAGCTGTTATGTAGAATGCCAAGGAATGAAGATCTTTAGACACACTGACGTAATGCTTAATCGGTTTGGAGGAATTTTTAAACACATGAGCAGCATCCCTCCAAAGATGGGAGAGGTCCCTAGGTAGATAAGCGAGGTCCTTATACAGGTGGAAGGGGTCTTATGCAGACATGCCGGGTTCTTACGCAGGTATTCAGATCGTTTACTGCGTTCTGGAGTGGTCTAGGCACACAGGAAGGTTTGTGTATTGACGCCATGTCCTTACATAGGCTAGGGGGAAAGAGGGAGCGGAATTTTACCCCAATAAAGGCGTCTTTTACAGGTGAGAGTACTTTTGCACACAGAAGTGAGGGATTTGGATTCATGCAACTGACCGTCATTTGGAATATGCTGTGCGAATTCTAGCGACCTTTACTTGCACAGACATAAACGTGTCATATAAAGGAATCATTATGTCATTATGTTCTAGGGTGATATAGCAGCATGAAGGGCCTTATATGGACAAGGAGGGCTATTTTAAGTTCGCAGCACAGCCCGGCTGCCTTGATGCCGCCGACGCCAGCAGCGCGGTACCTGCGCCGGCAGCAGGTAGGAGCCGCCACCGAGGGGGCGGAGCGCTGGGACCCGAAACTGGCTCCCGCAGTCCCCCATGCAGCCGCCAGGGGCAGCACCGTTCCCCCCGGCCCGCCGCGCCTCCCCCAATCTCCGCCTCCCACCCCCTCCCTCCCCCCGTTCCCGCTCCCCTGAGCCCCGCCAGACCCCGCTCCGCCCGCGCCCCGCTCGACTCCGGAGGCTCCCGCAGCCCCGGTGTCCGCCCCGCTGCCCCCTCCCCCGGGGGCCATGGGGGCGCCCCCGGGCTACCGGCCCTCAGCTTGGGTGCATCTCCTCCACCAGCTGCCCCGCGCCGACTTCCAGCTCCGCCCGGTGCCTAGCGATTTCGCGCCCCGCGAGCAGGAATACCAGCAGGTGGGAACGGGCGCCGGGTCGTGAGGACCAGGGCAGGGGGCCGGAGCTTCCGGGTCCCCAGGGAGGAGGGGGCTCGATCACAGATTCCTGTGTTCTCCGGGGCTGGGGGCCTGGCCCAGACTTTGGGGTATCTGAGGGAGGAGCCCAGGGCACCCACACCTGGAGGTTCCCCTGGGACGGGCGCCGGGGTCCAGAGCCCCAGCTCGCTCCTTAAATAAGGAAGGCTAGGGCCTGGACCCCGGAGTGCCTGAAAAGGAGGAGACTGGGGTCCCCCGGATTCTCGGGTCTCTGAGATCTGCCTGGGAAGCCACCTCCAGGGTCCTCGGAGGGTAGGTCCACTCTCCGCGTCCTAAAGGGCGATCCGCCCCCCATAGAATAAGAGCTGGAAAACGTGCCCCAGTTAAGGTGGGACCCAGAGAGAGCGGACCTGGTAATGGTGGGGAGGGAAAGCTGGGGTGCTGGGTGGGACTGAGAGCCTGAAATGGGGAAGGGGGTTCGGGCCAGGCTGGGAAGACTTGGTGGTGCTGGAAGGGGAAGCGCCCGGCGGTCCCAGGACAGAGGGCGGTCGGGCGCCAGAGGGGTGGGGGCGAAGCGGAGGCTGGGCTTGGGGAGCCGCTGGGGATGCCAGACGTGGGTCCCGGAGGGTGGGGCCAGTGCGGGAACCTCACAGAAGCCGGGGTCCCTAGGGAAAGAGCCCAGCTTGGGGCAGCTCCAATGGGGCGAGAAAACTGTCCCCTGACCCAGTTTAATTCGAGTCCTTGACTTTGAGATTAATGAGCAGAAAGGCTTGGCTGAGCTGGGGACGGGGTGGGGGGGCCGGGAGTCCTGCGGGGCCCCAGCAGGGGTCTTGGGCCCTGCCTGTAGGGTCTGGGCCCCTCGGATCTGTCCTGGGTTGCTCCCGGGAGCCGGGGCTGGGGATTGGGGAGCTTAGAAGGAGTGGGGGGGTCCCAGCAAAGCGGGGAGGGGGATGTGTGCTGCATTCTGAGCTATTTGGGTCATGGCTGGCACAGCCGCGAGCAGCTCTCCCCGCCTGCTCCACGCCGCCCCCTCTCACCGCCAAACGGGGACCGCCGTCCCGCGCCCACAGCCTCCCGTTACACAATCGCAGCCTCCAGCGCTGTCCCACCGACTCCCGGCCTAGCCGAGACTCGCCTGCTCAGGGCCCCTGCGACCTCCCGAGGCCACGCCGGGTCTCCGCCTGGCGGCTGCAGGCAGTCCGGGTCACAGTGCCGGTCGCGCACACAGACCCGAGCAGGACATTCCCACCCCCAGAGATGGCCCCTGTGGGCGCAACTGGAGACACAGCCGGGGACCCTGGGCATGGCCTGCGGGGACGCACACGCACAGCCACATACACACACTCTCTCACTCATATGCACACTCATACACCCGCACACACATATACCCGCTTATTCCCATATGCACGCTCACACACTCACACACGCGTGCTTATACTGACTCAACACAGGCTCACAGTCTCACACTCACACATGCACACTCACGCACATATACATGCCCCCACGCTCACACATGCACACTTATACTGACTCACTCAACGCACAAATTCACACACGCTCACACTCACGTATGCACGCTCACACACACATACATGCGGACACACACACATATACTGACTCTCTCACTCAACACACACATACACACACCCACACATACTCACGCACCTATGTTCACACAACCAAGTACTCACACTCACACACTCTCATACTTGCACACAGATTGACCCTAACACTCATTCACACACACTCACCTACACATATACTCACAACTCACATATACACGTATCATACTGTCATATGCTCACGCACACTCACACACACTCACACTGTCTCGCGCACACACACACAACACCACACACCACTCAAGGAACTGTGCCCAGAATACACAAATGCCAACAGACGTACCCGCTCGTCTGCAGACACAGGTGCACCCACCGATGCACACACACCCACACTCACACTCACACTCACACTCACACACTCCCAGGTGTATGCTCATCTCAAGGCAGATAGAACACCCAGTCTCACACCAGAAACACAAAACCTGCACACACTTGTGACACGCTCCGCTGCGAGGACAAAGGCAGACACGCCGTGGTTTAGGAGATACAGCTCTGGTGTGTCCAGAGGTGAGGTTCTGGTCCCAGGCTGCCCCCACCTGCTGTGTGGCTCAAGGCAACCCCTGCCCCACTCTGGGCCTCTGGGCAGGCAGGACTGCATGGGTCTGCTGTAAAATCCTGCCACGTGGAGAGAGCCCTGTTATTCGCGAGGCTTTTCCAACTACAGACATGTTTTCTCTGCCTGCCTCTGTCCTCACAGGCTTTGGCTGTGTCCTCGTCTCTGTCCTCGCTGTCACTGTCACTCCTGCCTCCCCAGTGTTCCATACTGCCTCTGTCTTTGATCTCTCTTTCTCTGACTCTGTTATCTCCATCTCTTTTGGTCTCTGTCTTTTTCTGTCTCATCACCGCACCCCTCTGTCTGTTTCTGGTCTTTATTTCTCCTTTCTTGGCCATGTCTTTCTGCCTGTGTCCCCTTCCACCCGCCCCTAACCCCATTCTGAGTCTTGCCCGCGTGCGTGACCACACGCATGCACACACACACACACACATACAGGTGCATGCGCACTGCCCACAGCCCCCACCAGCCCTGGGTGTCAGGCTCACGCTGCAGGGGCGTGGGGAGCTCAGGGGCAGGGGGAGAGCGTGTGGTGAGCTGGGAGGACTAGCAGGGAGGAGGAAGGAGGCAGCACGCCCCCCAACCTGGCACACGGCACCAGGAACAGGCACCCTCGCCCGTCCCCTGATCCCACACAGTGCTGGAGGGCCTCAGCAGGTTTTTGGGAGATGCTCCGTTCAGACTGCCAGTTGCAGTGAGGAGGAAACCGAGGCTCAGAGAGGGGGAGGCCCTGCTAAAGGTCACACAGCCATTGGGGGGCGGAGCAGAACTGGAACCCAAGACTCAGGACCCCCAGTTGGAAACCCCTTGCAGGGACGTGTCCCTAAATCCCAGAGCCCCAGGTGCCAGCTTGGGAGGGGCTGGGGACTCAGTCTTCCCTAAGACCTGGCCATCGGGGTGTCCCATCCCCACTCTGACCTCCTGGTCCCAGGAGGGACCCTGGGGAAGGGACCCACACGTGAAGGGAGCTCTGAGTCTGGACCGCGCCTGCGCCCTCTGAGGCCTGCTGTCACCCCTTCCCCAGGCCCTGTTGCTGGTGGCGGCCTTGGCGGGCCTGGGCTTAGGCCTGAGCCTCATTTTCATCGCTGTCTACCTCATCCGCTTCTGCTGCTGCCGGCCCCCAGAGCCCCCTGGGGCCAAGAGCCCCCCGCCTGGGGGAGGCTGTGTCACCTGGAGCTGCATTGCTGCCCTTCTCGTCGGCTGGTAATGGGGTCCCAGGATGGGTGGGCAGCGGGGACGGGGCTCCCCAAGCTCTCTGTCAGCCTTCCCGGTGGTGTCCTGGCACGTGGGAGAAGCAGACAGGAAGGACAGTCCCCCTGCCATTTTCCAATCCTGCTGCTGCCTCCAGGCAGAGAGAATTGTTCCCATTTGATGGATGGAGCAACTGAGGTTCCAGACAGAAAGTGACCTTCCCAATGGCAGCCAGCCTGGCGGTGGCAGGAAGGAGTAGGGGTTAAAACTGGGTGGCGGTCAGACTGCTTGGTTTGGGTGGCTCTCCTAATGAACAGCTATGCAACCAAAGGAGTGCTAGAATCTCTCTGGGCCTCAGTTTTCATACCTGTAAAATGGGCCTTACAGTACCGTCACCTCCCAGTCATGGTAAGACTAAACGGGAGGCAGCACAGTGTGTGTCTCACAGTTGTACTCGGTAAATGTTAACTAGTGATGTCATTTACTCATTCATTTAACAACTCTTTATTGAGTATCTGCTAAATGCCAGATACTGAACAAGCCTGACAAGGAGCTCCTCATGCAGCTCACATTCGAACCAGGGCTGTGGACAGTAGACAGATACTATCCAAGAGCACCTACTCCACACCCAAACCTGAGCTGCTCCAACTCCTTCTCACAATGACACCGCTGGATGCAGGGTTGTCATGCCCAGTGTGGAACGAGGAAGGCTCTGGGAGGGGATGGGGGGCAACTTCTCAAGGCTGTGTGGCTTTGGAGGCAGAGTGGAGATTCAGGCCCATGCTGGTAGGAGCTCAGGTGGCTTCTAATGTAAACACACCATTTACCAGGAGCCAGTTCTGAGCACGGCCCCCTCCCTGGCAGGGCAGCACCACCAGTTCATGGACAGCTGTCCTATTCCACAGATTAGGGGACTGGGGATCCCAGAGAGCCAGAGACCTGACCTGAACCCACAGCTGGCAGATGGGGACCTGTGAGGGTGTCTCCTACAGCCAGCTGGGGGAGTGGCCTGAAGCCCTCACCCCAGGCTGGGCTTCCTGCAGGGAGAAGCAGTGTGTGTGTGTGGGGGGTATACGTGGGGTGAGGGGCGCCCTATATCCAAGACACTTCCTCATCAGGCTCTCCAGAGTGGGGTTGGACAGGGGAGGTGGACAAAGGCCCAGTGGGGGAGAGACACGGCCCAGCCCCCGCAGCCTGGGAACAAGAGGAGCTTTGTAAGACTCTGAACAATGGGGCGGGGGCACCAGGGCTGAGCACTGGGCGTCTGATCCCAGGGCTGGGGGTGGAGGCCTGGTAGCGGGGCTGGGAACTGTGAGGGTGTCCCACTCCCGGCTCTCCACTGTGGGACACGGTGGTGGTGGGGGGAATGGGGCCCCCGCATTCAGGCCCCACAATGGAGCTCTGTGTGTTGGCAGGGCTGGGGTGGGAGCGGGGAGGGGGCCAGCTTCTGGCCCTTCCTCCAGTCCTCCCCATTCCCTTGATCCCCTCCCAGCTGGCCAGACCCTTGGGTCCCGTGGTAGGTGGGGAAAGGCTGAGAGCTCCAGGCTCGGTGACCCAGGGAGATGGTGGCAGCTGGGGGCGGGGGCGCACTCCTAGGAACCCCCAGAGGTGGGGTGGAGGATGCCTGGGCCCTGGAGGGACCCTTGTTGATGGCCCTGAGGACTCCTAGGACAGGTGTCAGAACACTACTTGGCAAAGGATGGAGGGGGTGGATTCCGGGCAGACAGAGGACAACTTCCCATCCTGGGCTGGGCGTGGCTGGGCTTCTGTTCCAGGGCGGTGTGAGTTAAATCTGGGGGCTCCCTCCCCTCTTCCACTCCACCCACCATTAGCATCACAATGACGTCCCTGGCTGGGGGAGTGCAGTGCCGCCTTCCAGTTACCTTGGCAACTGATGGGGGCCAGGCTGAAGTCGCTCTTTTCCCACGGCAGGCTAGACCAATGGGATGGGGCTGCAGATGGGATGGGTGGATGAGGAGGTGGGGTGGAGGGGGCAGGGCAGGGTTGAGGGGATGGTGGCCCCCAGGGTCCCAGGACTGGTTGAGATTTCCCCTCCCTCCTCCTCTCCTCAGCGCTGGCATTGGCATCGGTTTCTATGGTAACAGCGAGACCAGTGATGGGGTGTCCCAGCTCAGCTCAGCCCTGCTGCATGCCAACCACACGCTCAGCGCCATTGATCACCTGGTGAGGGGCCAGCGGCCAACGGACCCCAGACCCACACCCTGATTGGCTCCCCACACAGGGACCTTGAAGCCCTACACTGTGGGGACAAAGGGATCAAAGCTCAGAGCCAAAACCCCAGGCTTGAAACTTAGGACCCCAAACTCAGAACTTTGTACTCAGACCTGCCAACCTTGAACTACATGCCCAACACCCAACCCTGGCTGCAAATCGAGGACCTCATACCTTGAGGACCCTCAGAATCTTGAGCCAGATATACAACTTAAAGCCCAAACCCAAACCCCAGACTCATGCCCAGGCCCAGCCTTGGACTTTAGCTGGTAGCCCAAACCAGACAGAGACCAAACACCAGGGACCCCAGTCCCTGTCTTTGGGTCAGATCCAGGGCCCCAGACCTGATCATTGGCCCAAATGAAGGGTCAGGGACCTCATCCCTGAGACCTGGGACCCAGACTCGAGGCCTCAGCTCTGACCCCCAGTCCCAGGATTCTGGCCCTTGGGGCTGAGATCTGGCCTGATCTCAGACCTTAGATTCCATGACCAGTTGCAGACCCTGGACCATGGGACTGAGACTGGAGACCCCAGACTCTGCAAAGCAGATGCAAACTTCAGATCTAAGACTCCTGACTTAATCCCACTCCAGGGGCTGGAACCTCTACACCAGGATCAAGCCACCCACCACTCAGAGCTTCTGACAGAGGGCACAGAACTCTGCAAACTGGACCTCTGAGCCCCCTCCCAGACCCCTCCCCTCCTTCAGTCTTCAGACGCCCCAGAGCTCAGATCTCGGACACCCACTATTGTGCACTCTGACTTCACCCTAAGTCCCTGTCCCTTAACCATGGGCTTTCCCCCAGGACATCCTCCCAGACCTCAGACCCTGCCCTGCCCCCAGGTGCTGGAGACAGTGGAGACGCTGGGCGAGGCAGTGAGGACAGAGCTGACCACCCTGGAGGAGGTGCTCGAGCAGCGCACGGAGCTGGTGGCTGCTGCCCGGGCAGCTCGGCGGCAGACAGAGGCTGTGGCCCAGCAGCTGCAGGGGCTGGCCTTCTGGCAAGGTGTGCCCCTGAGCCCCCTGCAGGTGGCCGAAGGCGTGTCCTTCGTGGAGGAGTACAGGTGAGAGGCTGCTCTCCCGCCCTGTGTAGCAGCAGTTCTCAGACTGGGTTCCTGGAGGGACAGCTGGCAATGTCTGGAGACATTTTGGTTGTCACAGCTGGGGAAGTAGGTGATGTTACTGGCACCTAGTGGGTGAAGCCCAGGGATGCTGCTCAATGTCCTACAATGCACAGGACAGAGTGGTCCAGCCCCAATGTCAACTAGGACTACAACATTGATAAACCCCACTGTGGAGGGACAGATGGAGTGACCTGGTGCCCATCCTCACCCATGTACTTGCCCCTGCAATTGTAACTTCACTCAATTATTCATACACTTATTCATTCTCTGACTCATGCATGCATTCAGCAAATCACACTTAGACTCAGGCACTCCTGGACTCACCTGGCAACTCACCCGTTCATCTGTGTGACACGTGTATTTGTTCAGCAAATATTTATTTCACACCTTCTGGTTAGAGAAGCAGTGTGTCCATGTGGTTAGAAACTTGGGCTCTAAAGCCAGACTGCTAACCATGTGGCCTGACACAAGCCACTTTCCATGTCCCTGCCTCTGTTTGCTTGTCTGTAAAATGGGTGTCATGGTAGTACTCCCGTCACTGGATTATTGAGGACCACATAAATCAGTATCTGTCATATCAGTTGAGTGCTTAGAACGGCGACCAGCACACAGTGAGCGTTGTAGAGGTGTTTGCAAAGGGCACACGTGCCAGGAATAGGGGCAGAGCCATGGGCAAGAGGCTGAAATCCCTGTCCTCGTGGATGCACCCCAGTGGAGGGACCAGTAGGAAACAAACGCAGGAGTAAAACATGTCGTCTTCAAGGTAGTGGCCAGGAGAGCTTCGGAGAATATTAAACAGGAGTTGGTGGGGGAGCAGAGGCCAGGAAATATCTTCTGGGTGCACCAATGCCAAGGTGCCCGGCACTTGGGAGTCCCTCAACAAGCAAATCAGGGGTCCCCAGGGGAGAATCTTGCCTCAGCTGTTCACAGGCAGCAGGAGGGGACACCTTCCCTGGAGGGCAGTGGTCAGGGACCAGGGTTGTGGGAGTGAAGCCCACAGCTAGGTGGGGACTACAGAGAAAGATGCTGTTAAGTGAGCACTTACTATGTGTCAGGCACTGTTCTGTGGCCTCGCCTGCATTCTCCTCGTTAACCATGGTGGATTACTATTATTTGTTAATTTTTAAAGTACCTTATTAATGGTTAGCCTAATATTTAAGTGTGCCCATGTGCTTGGCACTCTTCTAAGCCCCTTACTTGTATTTGCTCGTTCAACTCGCAACGAGCTTTTGAAGTCAGTGCTGTAATGTGCTCCCCACGTTACAGGTGGGGAAACTGAGGCACAGAAAGTTATGGTTACTGGGACAGAGTCACTTAACTGGTTAAGTGGAGGGGCTGAGGTTGAGACCTAGGTAGACTGCCTCCAGACACCATGCTGGTGGGTGGTGCGGTGAGACCCTTTTGTGAATGTGCACATAGATTGAATGTCTCCACTCTGCAGGGCAGGGTAGTGGGTGAGGGGCTGGGACGCAGAGAGGCCAAGCTACATGTCCATGCTCACAGAGCTTGTGTGTGGTCTGGCCAGGGTTCAGTCCTGAGTGCTCAGGACCTACAACCGCTCCAGTGTCTCGTGTCCTAACATACCCATGTCACAGGTGAGCTGGGTTATGGCCCAGAGACTCTGAACAGACTGAGTTGGGGGTGAACATGGGGTGCTGCTCAGTCTAGATGCCTGCAGGCTGGGTTTGCTGTATCTGCCCTACCCTGTCCCCTCCCAGGTGGCTGGCCTATGTCCTCCTGCTACTCCTGGAGCTGCTGGTCTGCCTCTTCACCCTCCTGGGCCTGGCGAAGCAGAGCAAGTGGCTGGTGATTGTGTGAGTCCAGATGGTAGGAGGGATCCCTTGCTAGACAGATGTCCCAGTGCTGTGCCTGGCATTTCCCCTGGTGGGCAGGACCTCACTCAGTCTCACGACCCTCTTACACAAGGGCTCATGGTCCTTCCTGGGCTGGGCCAGGCACCAGGCTAAGGGCTGGGCATGCAGAGAGGCGGGGAGGAAGACCCCAAAACAGGCAGTCCTTGCTGTATGAAGCATGTTGAAATTGTGGGAAGAATAATGACCATGCTTTCAATAAAGAGGAGGATGATCACTGATATCTGTTGAGGGCCTCTGACTCCTTCAGTTGCCATAACAACTCCGTGGAGGAGGTACTGTTAGGCTCCCATCGGGCAGGTGAGGGAACTGAGGCAGAGGCACCAAGTTCAAGCCTGCCTGGCCCTTAAGTGGCACTGCAGAGCCACAGGATCCACATTTTTATTTAACAACTCACTCTGTGTGGCAGACACTCTTCTGTGCACTCCATGGAACCCTCAGGCCCACCCTCCCTGCTTAACAGAGGGGGAGACTGAAGCTCAGAGAGGTTGGGCCGCTTTCCCAGGGCCAGACAGCCAAGAAATGCCAGAGCTGAGATTCAACCCGGGCCAGCCTATCCCACTGGAAGAGCCCGCCTGTGTATCCTCTCTGCCCACGGGAGGCTTGTGCCCACGCTCCCCTGGGGTGAGAGGTCCTGCCACCCTGTCCAGGCCCCACTGAGGCTTGCAGGCAGGCGAGCATGGCCACGGCAGATCAGGGCTGGGACTGAAGGCCCCTCCTGCCTGCTGACCACTCCACCAGTGCCGTCCCCACCCTACCCTGGGAGAAGTCCAGAGGAGGCCAGGCAGAGCCAGAAGCTGACCAGGCTGCAGGTGCACCTGGGAACATGTGGGGGAGATTCTGGGCCCCAGGAAAGTGAGCCCAGGGGTGAGCAGTTGCCCTCCCCCATTCCTGAGCAAGGCAGGGCAGAGAGGAGCTGGGATCCAGGCTGCAGACCTGCCAGCCCTGGGCTTTTCTCACCCCCTGCCCCCACACCTCTGGGCAGGGGCCAGATGTTCAGGTCGACGTCAGCAAACACCAGCCCACCCCACCCCCAACTTCCCTGTGCCTAATTCTGATCCTCCAGGCTCCAGAGGTGGGTAGAGGATGAGGGTGGGGCTGTGCTGGGGTTTGGGGTATGGGAAGGGCAGAGGCAAGTGGAGAGATTAAGAGCCCTGAGCCCAATTCCCCTGCCCCCACCCACTACAGGATGACAGTCATGAGTCTCCTGGTTCTCATTCTGAGCTGGGGCTCCATGGGCCTGGAGGCAGCTACCGCGGTGGTGAGTGCTGGGCCACTGGAGGCCATGGATCCTGGGGTGGGGTGGAGTCCACTGCCTTAGTCCCAAGAGGGAGGAATTGGGGGACACAGTCACAGGTCTGAGGTTTAGGTCTGTCTCCTGGGTCCTGAGGGGACAGAGGTTTATTTGGGCTCTGAGGGAGGAGGGGTTGGGGGACCCCTGGCTCTGAGGGAGGAGGGGCTGTGGGACCCCTGAGTCTGAGGAAGGAGGGGCTGAGAGACCCCTGGGTCTGAGGGAGGAGGGGCTGGGGGACCCCTGGGTCTGAGGGAGGAGGGGCTGAGAGACCCCTGGGTGTGAGGGAGGAGGGGCTGGGGACATGGACCCCTGGGTCTGAGGGAGGAGGGGCTGGGGACATGGACCCCTGGGTCTGAGGGAGGAGGGGCTGGGGACATGGCCCCCTGGGTCTGAGGGAGGAGGGGCTGGGGACATGGACCCCTGGGTGTGAGGGAGGAGGGGCTGGGGGATCCCTGGGTGTGAGGGAGGAGGGGCTGGGGGATCCCTGGGTCTGAGGGAGGAGGGGCTGGGGGATCCCTGGGTCTGAGGGAGGAGGGGCTGGGGGATCCCTGGGTCTGAGGGAGGTGGGGCTGGGGGACCCCTGGGTCTGAGGGAGGAGGGGCTGGCGGATCCCTGGGTGTGAGGGAGGAGGGGACGGGCCCAGGTCCCCGGGTCTGAAGGGAAAGGGACTGGGAGCCAGGCACTGGGCATGTGGAATTGGGGCAGTTTCTGGTCTGAGCCCTTCTCTCTGCCTGACTCAGGGCCTCAGTGACTTCTGCTCCAACCCGGACACCTACGTCCTGAACCTGACCCAGGAGGAGACAGGGCTCAGCTCAGGTGATTTTCATTGACCTGGTGGTGGACCTGGTCTGCTCAGGCCTCCCTGGGGAGTTGAGGGGGCTCAAGCGCCCCCAACCCGGCGGGGCCCAGTCCTCTGGAAGGGAGCTCGCGGGGCCTCTCCCTGCAGCTGGAAGGAGGGCCAGGTGCCGCTGCTGGAGTCAGCCGGCGAGAGAGTCAGGCGGGCGGTGGGCCTGGACCTCAGGCGTGGAGGACTGACTGGCCACCTGGGGCAAATGCAGGAGCGCAATAAGTCAGCGTTTCCCAGGAAGAGTGTGGCGACCAGCGCGTGCCCCCGCTGTGGCTGGAGGGCAGGGACGGGGCTGCAGGGTGAGGGCGGGGCGTCTCTGAATGGCAGGCTGTGGGCCTCCAGGGAAGGCACCTGAGCCGGGGAGGGCCCTGAGGCCCAGGCTCATGGACTCCTTCCCTCTCTTCCTCCCACTTCAGACATCCTGAGCTATTATTTTCTCTGCAACCAGGCCGTCTCCAACCCCTTTCAACAGGTTAGGGCCGCGGGCATGGGAAACGGCTCTCCAGAGAGGCGGGCGGGGCGGGCCCGGGACTCCGGGGTTCCGGGGAGGATGAAGGTGCCAGCGCCCAGACTCCCGTCTGCGGGAGAGGAGAGGAGGGCGGGCTGCGGGCGTCCACTACTGGGCTCCTCTCCCTCCCTGCCTTCCGCAGAGGCTGACTCTGTCCCAGCGAGCTCTGGCCAACATCCACTCCCAGCTGCAGGGCCTGGAGCGAGAAGCTGTCCCTCAGTTCCCTGCAGCGCAGGTCGGTGCGATGGGCGCTCCCGGCACACCGCTCCAAGGGATGGGACGGCGGGGCGGGACCCCCAGCAGGTGACAGGCTGGGGTGTGTGGGCGGGGCCCTGTTGTGGGCGGGGCCTGCGGGGCGGGGCGGAGCCCGGGCCGTGGGCGGGCCTGATGGCTTGCAGAGATAACTAGCCCCCCACCGCCGCAGAAGCCTCTGTTGTCCTTGGAGGAGACGCTGAATGTGACAGAAGGAAACTTCCACCAGTTGGTGGCACTGCTGCACTGTCGCGGCCTGCACAAGGTAAACCTCGTCTCCTCCCCAATTTCTACCCCTAAGAGCCTCTGCCTCCACCCACAGAACCACCTCCTTCCTGTCCTTGGACCCCTACCATTGCCCCTGCGAATACCTATAGCTCCATCTATGTTATTTATCTATCCTGTATCTGTACTCTATTACCTATCTATCATCTCTCTGTCATGTGTCATCTATATTCCTTCCTTTCCTCCCTCCTTTTCCCCTCACTGCCTGACCCCTCTCTCCGTAGGGTCCCCACCCCTCCTGCCTTGTCTGCTCCTCCCACCCTTTCCTTCCTCCTCCCCTCTCCTCTCCCCCTCCTCCTCCTCCTCCTCCCTCCCTTCCTCCTAGAGGCTGGGAAGTTTAGTGAGCTCTGGAGCAAGCCTGCCTGGATCCAGCCCTAGCTTTAGTCCAAGTCACTTGGCTTCTCTGAACCTCAGTTCCCTCCCTTATAAAACTGGGATTATAAGGATGACTACCTGTGAGTTCTCATGTAACTGGCTGTTAAAATACCAGACAGGCAGGGCTAGGCAGGGCACCCAAGATGAAGTGCGTCTGGTGTCCTGCAGACTCACTCCAGCACCGGTGAGCATCACTGAGTCTTGGTTTTCCTACACATACCGTGAGGAAGGATGATACTTTCTTTACGGGATGGTTATGAGGGTTGAAAACAAAATCTCCCTTTGAAACAGTGGGAGTTGTTCTAAAACACAGACCTGAGCATGCCTTTCCCTGGCCAGTCTTCCCCCCATAACACCTGGAATGTATGTAGCATAGGCTTTGCCATGTGCCTGGCTCTGCTGTATTTGACAGGTAGTAACTCACTGACCCCTCATAATAACGCTATGGAGAAGGAACTACTATTATTATCCCATTTGACAGGCTTGGAAGGTGCGGTGCAAAGAGTTTAGCGACTTTCCCAAGGTCACACAGCCAGCCTGTGCACACCGAAGAGACAGGGGCCTTCTGGGGGGTCGCTGGGCTCCTCCTTCAGCCCCCACAGACAGGCAGTTGCCAGTCTTGTCCCTTCTGCTTCTGGAATGTCTTCAGCCATCCACCCCTAAGGCCCCTGCTCAGGCCTCGTGCTCTCCCCTGGAGGATGATGCATGCCCCCTCCCAGTCTGTCCCCTCGGGGACTCCAGAATAGGGTTCTCAGATTCAGCAAACAGCAAATAATGCTTTACTACATGCACACCCTGTGCAATCAATGTTGGGGAGATACTTACACTAACAAACGACGTGTTGGGTGTCTGATGTTCGAATTTACCTGGGAGTGGAGTGCTGTGTTTGGCGTGGCAGCCCTACCCCAGAGGGATCTGTCCACACCAGAGTACGGATTTGAGCTTTTCCTGGTCCTGCTCCCATCCCTCCAGTGGCTGCCATTGTCCCCAGGCTTCTGAAACTAGTGTTCCAACAGGGGAGGGGTGGCAGGCACTGAATCAATACTCAGAACTGATGCATGTGTGAGCTGGGAAGGGCTGGGGGCCCTGGGCTACCCTTCTCTTTCGTACAAGGGTATGCAGGGGTCCAGGCACTTCTCTATGGTCCAGCAGAGACTGGGCCTGAGACTCCTGTGTGAAGGGAGGGGTATGGGAGGGACAGATCAGAAATCTCCACCTTCCACTGACTGATATACCATGTAACCCTGGGTGGGCCTCTGTTTTCCATCTGGACCTCAGGGTCCCCACATTAAAGTCAGGGACAAGGGACTTTAGGGATAAGGAGAAAGAAGGGTGGGCACTGGACCCTGATAGAATCAATTACAATCTCAGCTCTACCCCTTCCAGGCTGTGTGACTCTGGGCAAGTGGCTGGCCATCTCTGGGCTTCAACTTCATTCCACCACTGCAAAAGGCAGCAGTGTGATGGGGTTTGCTGTCTGTTTTGCAGGGCTGTGGTGGGGATGAAGGACATTGTGCACATGCCTGACACTTTCCACGCAGAACTCCCCATAGCTCTGGCAGGCTCCTCCCTCCAGGCCTCACTGGCTCAGTAACAGGCACCCCACCTCACCCAGGTGCTCCAGGCACACCCTCAGGAACATCCTTTTGCTCCCTGTCCTTACCTCCCTCAACCATTCCGACCGCGAGTTCTGTGGTCCCTTCCTCTGAAACCTATTTGGACTCCAAGCACTGTTCAAACTGCCACCACTGCTGCCCTAGTCCCCGTGGTCCTCACCGCCCACCCAGCACCGCAGGAGCCTCTTCCCTGTCCCCTCTGGCCCGCCCTGTCTGTCCTCCACTCAACAGCCAACAACCAGGTGATCCTTCTAAGACATAATCCGATCAAGTTTTTCCTTTGCTTAAAACCCTCCAGTGATTAAAACCCCAGCTCCTTGCCCTGACCTACAAGGGCCTGCCTGGTCAGTCCTGGCTGCGGCTGCCTCAGCCCCTCCTCCGGCTGTTCCACATGCCCTCTGCACCTGCATTGGCCCAGGGCCTGGCTCCTCCCTGCTGCCCCCCCCCCACCCTGCAGCAGGCCCACCCACCCCGTGCCTCTGCCCTGCACCGCCTGCAGACCCTTCTGAGTCATCAGCCCATCACCCTCTGAAATGATCTTTCTTGGTCCTGTTTGCTAAAGTTTCCCATCCTGGGGATGGGCGGTGCCTGGTGGACGGCAGACTCTCAGGCAACCCTGCTGAATGGATTAGGGGTGTGTGTGCCCCCAGGCATTCAGTACAGGTACCCTGTTTCCCTGAAAATAAGACAGGGTCTTATATTTATTTTTCCTCGAGAAGACACCCTAGGGCTTATTTTCAGGGGATGTGTTATTTTCCCCTCAAAGCCTCACCTTACAGCACGCACAGGATGGCCGTGACCTGCCAGGGGGAGCCGACCTTGTTGGTGGGGCTCTCCGCACCTTTCTGGTCACCTCTGGGATAGTAGCTGTCACGATGGGGCAGATGAGAAGGGCTGCTTGTCTTCCTTACCACTCCACGACGAAATGCATGGGTTGTGCAGACATGCTGTGTAGCCACGCCCGTCACTAGATCTTACTTTCGGGGTAGGACTTATATTGCACAAATGCTTAGCAATCCTGCTAGGGCTTATTTTATGGGTAGGTCTTATTTTTGGGGAAACACGGTAGTTCTGCTGATTTCCGGGGGGGAGATAGTAATCGGTGCTAGCACTGGTTGAGTGTGTGCTATGTATGTGCCAGCTGTCATTCTCAGCCGTGGTTCTTCTAAGTGTTATTCCAAGTGTCCTCCTAAGCAAATGATTTTGCCCCCAGGGACATTTTGTGATGTTGTTGGTTGTCACAACTGCAGGAAGGGGGTGCTCCTGGCACCTAGTGGGTGGAGCACAGCGATTCCGCTCAACACCCTACAATGCACAGGATGGCCCCTCACAGCAGAGAATTGTCTGGCTCAAAATGTCAGCAGTGCCTAGGTAGGGAAACCCTGTCCTAGACCAACGTGGAGCTGGCCTGCTGACTGGGTGCTTCCTGGGTGCCAGGCCTATCACACTGATGACTATATTCTATCCTCAGAACAGCCCTTTGACAGGGGAGGAAACCGAGGCACAGAAAGGTTGAGTGACTTGTTCAGTACCACACAGCCAGGTGAACAGTCCAACTCATGTGTTTAGAATATGTGTGTGTGTGCGTGCGATAGGCAGGCGGGGGGCACTGCCTAATAATGCTCTCCACCCCCAGGACTATGGTGCAGCCCTGAGGGGCCTGTGTGAAGATGCCCTGGAAGGCTTGCTCTTCCTGCTGCTCTTCTCCCTGCTGTCTGCAGGGGCCCTGGCCACTGCCCTCTGCAGCCTGCCCCGTGCCTGGGCCCTCTTCCCACCCAGGTCAGAAGGGGAGAAAGGGCAGGGTCCTGAGGGAGGGGAAAGGAGGGCAGCACCTGGGGACCACTGTTGGGGGGGTGTGGCCTCCTGATGGGTCCCCCATGCTGCCTCTCTGCCACTCCCCGCATCGCACCCCAGTGATGACTACGATGACACAGACGATGACGACCCTTTCAACCCTCAGGTACTGGACTCTTGGGTCTGAGGGCCCGGATCCCTGGTCTGAGGGAGGCAGGACTGGGGACAGGATCCCTGAGTCTGAGGGAGGAGGGGCTGGGGACCCACAGTATACAGCCAGATTCCCATTCCATCCCTTCCTCTCACTGGAATCTTCCTGGCAGGAATCCAAGCGCTTCGTGCAGTGGCAGTCGTCTATCTGAGCCTCTCCTCCCTGCCAGACTGGAGCCTGCCTCCCCTCTTCGGTCAGCTTCCAGAGGGACAGCCCCAGCTCCGAAGCCTGGCCTCTGCCCTCCTCTCCCACACAGAGGCGCCCCGGGCTGCATGCTAGGTGTGCCACACCCTGGTGGCCCTCCAGCCTGCATCAGTGTCCTGTCTCTGCCTCTCTCTGCAGTTCCTTCCCTGGCTGCCGGAGAAGACCCCACTAATCCAGCCTGACTGGGCTCTGACCACTAACACTCCTGGCCACGGACACCTGCACAGGACCACCTCCCTGCCCTGGCCCCTAGGGCTCCCGTCTCTGTCCTTAGCCCTGGGAATAGCTGAGTGGGCAGACTAGGAGGGACCAAGGCTGGCAGGGGAGGGGCAGACGGATAGCCCCACACCCCTTAACTCGGGCTGCCAGTCCCATACTTGAAGGGACTGAGCTGGGGGTGGGGGACATGAGTCCTCCCTGTTGCCCCTGCAACAGTGGGCTCCGGGCCCCTGATCTCAACTTGTGGCACTAACTTGGAAAAGGGTTGATTTAAAATAAAAGGGAAGACTTTATTTTACAAGTAGCTGGGTCTTCCTTATTCCTCTCCTCCCAATTCTACCCTCCTGGTTGGGGCTGGGAGATCCCTTCACCCCAGGCCTCTCTTACCAGGCCTGAGGCTGCTGTGTGCTTCCGCTCCTGCCCAGGCTCGGCAGGGCTTCCAAAGAAACTGTTCTTTAAGAAAAAAAGAATTTGTCTTCCTTGATTCTAAAAGTAATACACATGTCCTAACACAGGAATACACAGACATCTTTGGCACAGGATAGATGGCCTAGAAATAGATCTAAGAGTGTGTGTGTGTGTGTATATATATATAAAAATATATATGACAGAAGACAGATTTCAAGCCAGTGTGAAAAGGACTGATTTAGCAGCAGTGCTGACATATTGGCTTTCCATCTGGCCAAAATCTTCCATGGACAAGTTGGGTAAAAAATCTAAATATATACAAGTAAAGGGACAGAAGTATTTCAAGAGAAATTAGGAGCATACTTCTGCGTGGTATATCAGGGGGCGGGGGGGGGGGGGGGGGGGGGGTGACTTTAAGAAGAGATCATAAAGCCAGAAAGGAAAAGTTAATTTACTTGACAAATTGTGGAGTGAAAAAAATACTGTAAAGTCAAATGGTTAATTGATATTCTGGGGAACAATGTGTATGTGTTATTTTTTTAACAAATGTGGCAAACAAATATATTAATCTCAATACATAAATACAATCTATAAAACCTTCCATAAACTAAGAAAAAGAAAACTTAGTTTAAAAATAAGCAACAGAGAAGAACATTCAATAAAATGGAATTTCCCACACCATTACACAGACAAAAAAAGTCATTCAAACTCCAATAATTAGGAAATGCAATTCGAGACAACCAGGAACTTTTTTTCACTGCCTAGTTATCATAATTAAAGAACAGTGACACCCATGCTTGAAAGGATATGGAGGGACAGGTACTCAAGCACACTGCTTCTGAGGCTGGGAATTGCCACCATCCCTTGAAAAAGATAATCTGCTCATATGAGATCAAATAAAAACTGTATATGCCCATCAACCTGACAATCCTGCTTTTGGGAATCAGTTTATAGAAAGAGAACCATAGGCATCTAAGGACTTATATTTAGAGCTGTTTGCTACCACAATAGTACTGATCAGCTAAATCTGACCAAAACAAACAGTCCAAAAAAAGAGAAGCCCGATAAATCACTGCACGACAGGGCTCTGGAAGACACCAGTTCTTGGCTGGGAGCTGAGTCTGGGATTTTAGGGAAAACCTGGCAGAGCAGATACTGGAGCTGAGTGAGGCAGACAGCAGCAGCAGAGCAGACAAACACAGAGGTGGCCACACAGTTAAGGACCTGGCTTTGCACTCCTGGGCCCCCATCATGGTCCTGCTTCTCATGCCCCAATGGATGTGGGAGTCACCTGACCTGTTAGATCTTGGTTGCCACATGTATCAAATGGATATTACAAATCCAAAATTCCAAAATTCAAAGAGCTCTGAAGAACCAAGCCTTCCCATAACGCACTGGGCAGGAAAACCTGACCCGCTTAGTGTGAGACTACTCATGGACTTAATTTACCCAGCTTGGTGTGAATGTTTACATATTTCCCTGCAGAAATATAATGGGGTTACTTTGAAGTGCTGTGCTGGGTATTGAGAGTGTTGTGTGCTATGTGGAATAGAGACTATATTGCCTTTTGAAATGCTGAAAAATCCTGAAACCCAAAACATATCTGGCCCCAAGGGGCTCTGCTCAGAGTTCATTGATACACAGTGCTAGATGCTGGGTGTCCAGCACAGGGCTGCCCTTGCTCCATGCCTGTCAATCATTTCTACCTTGCACACTGCAAGAAATGTTCTGAGGAGGACTTTGATGTCTAGGCCTGAGGCTGGGGAACAGAAATCCACTAGTTTCCAGAGAGGGCTCCGGGCCACGTGTGTTGACTCACTTTCTCAGGACCGTATGAGCTGCCTGAACCTGGGACTGGCCCTGCTGCTATTCCGGCTTCTTTGCTCTCAAACACTGCCCTCTAGCGCCTCTGGGTCCATTTCCAGAAGCAGAGGCATCTGCTAATGTGTTGGGTATGGCACCCTGAGATCCAGGCCCATGAGCCTGGTGGGGATCTTTAATCAGGAAGCTTTAACTAAGAAAAAAATACATTTTGCCTAATATTTACAAAAGAAAAAACTATTTTTTACTTAAAAAAATCTTGCTATGGGGACTTCCACTTCTGACAAAGATGGAGTAACAGGAACTGGATTTGTTCTCTTTGCTGCAACGACCATAAAAACCAGACCAAACATGTAAAACAATGGTATTCAAGACTCTGGACAGGAAAGTGATCCCTGAGAGATGGAAAACATCAAGATGAGCTCTACAGTTGCCACAGCTTCCTGTGGTGAGTTTCCAGGGTAGGGGACAGGGATGGGGACTGAGATAGAGCCAGGAGGACCCCCTGAGCTGAGGAGGCAAAGCTGAGAGTCTAGGGAAGCCAAATAAGCCGAAATCCAAAGGATAGAATACTGGAGAGGAGAGAGCTGCAAGAAACAGCACTCTGGAGATCCACAGAGGGCCCTCCCTTGAGTGTTCAGAGAGTAGATTAGCTCATGTGGTGAGGACTTTACCCAAGGCCCAGGTGCCATAAATTGCAGGTATATATCGCCCTCTAAATTCATACATTGAAATCCTAACCCCAAATGTGATGATTTTTGGAGTGAGGCCTTGGGGAGGTGATGAGGTTGTGATGGCGGAGCCCTCATGAATGGGCTCAGTGCCCTTATAAGAGGCACAGAGAAGCTCATTCACCCCTTTCCACCATGTGAGAACACATATAGAGGGTGGGCCCTCACTAGACACCGAAGCTACCAGCACCTTGATCCTGAACTTCCTAGCTTCCATAACTGTGAGAAATAAATGTTTGTTAGTTATAAGTCCCCCAATCCATGGTATTCTCTTACAGCAGCCCAAATGGACAAAGATACCAGGGAAGGAACCACCTGGGAAGATTAGAGGGAACAGAACTTGAGCACCTGGTACTCACATAGGGCTTTGACAAAGTGCCTGTTCCCACCAGCTGAACCAGAAAAACCTCATAATCGAAGGGGCATTGGGTAGAGTACTCAGAAGGGTCTGACATCAGTTGTGGGGATAAACAGTTCTAGGATAAACACTGCACTGGCTCCACCTGAGAAATCTCAAAAGCAAAACCTAAAAGGATCAAGCTGCTTCCAAGTAACTGCATCCCCAAAACAAAGCTCAAGAATATTTATAGGCATACAAAAATAACCAGCACTCAACAAGGTAAAACTGACAAAGTCTAGCATCTGATTAAAAAAAATTACCAAACATGCAAAGAAACAGGTAAATATAACACATAATGAGGATTAAATTCATTCAATTGAAATTGACCTAGAAGTTGAAATTAGTAGACAAGAACCTTAAATGGTTATTATATTATACTCCATATGTTCAAAAAGTTACTTACAGACATGGAAGATATAAAAAGACCCAAATCAGACTTCAAGAGACAGAAAATTCAGTGTCTGAAATGAAGAATGCACTTATATGGAACCAACAGCAGGTTAGACATTGAAGAAAAAAAAGATTCATGAACTTCAAGACACAGCAACACAAATTATCCATATGAAATACAGAAAAAAAAAGAAAATAATTTCTAAAAAATGAAAAGAACATTGGTGAGCTGTGGGACAACTTCAGCCATCGTAATACATGTGTAACTGGAGGACCCTAAGGAGATAGAAAAGAAGGAACAAAAAAAGCATTTGTAGAAATAATGACAATTATTTTGTCAAATTTTCCAAATTTCATGAAAACTATAAACTTGCAGATCCAAGAAACTCAGTACTATAAATAAAGGAGCATCAAGCCATGAAAATACACGTAGGAAACTTAAATGCGTATTACTAAGTGAAAGAAGCCAATCTGTAAAGGCCACATACTGTGATTCCAACTATATGTTCTATATAGGGCAAAACTGCAGAGAGAGTTAAAAGATCAGTGGCTGCCAGATGTTGGGGACAGGGAAAAAAGAATAGATGGGGAACACCACGGATTTTTAGGGCAGTGAAACTACTGTATATGACACTATAATGCTGAACACTTGTCATTATACACTTGTCAAAACCCACAACACCTACAACAGTTAAGCATAAGCCCTAGAGTAAACTTAAGGGCTTGAGTGACAGTGATGTGTCCATACAGGTCCCCCAATTGTATCAAATGTGCCACTCTGGTGTGGGTGTTGATAGTGGGGAAGGCTTTGGTGTGTGTGGGGATGGGCTATATGAGAACTCTGTACTTTTGCTACAAACCTAAAACTTCCCTAAAAAATAAAGCCTACTTTTAAAAAATGCTCAAACCAAAGGCAGGCAGAAAAAGAGGAAAAAAGAAAGATGGGACAAATAGAAACCAAATAGCAAGATGATAGGTTTAAAAGTAACTATATCATTAATCACATTAAAAGTACAGTTATAGTTTCGGTTTTTGCTGTGGCTGGGCTCCTAGAATTAGGGCTTTGGATTCTGGCTACAAGAGGAGGAAGCTGGGGCCATGAGAAGGAAAATGATGAATTTTCCAAGTCAAACAGCTGGTTAGCTGGTTAAATGGCAGAGCTAGGATTAGAACTCAGGTCTTCTGCCTCCCAAGATTGTTAAAATGAGTCTTCAAAAGCAAACCCCTAGTGACTTCTTAGAGCAAATCATCAAATGGTCAGTTGTGGTAAAATTAAATTCTGGAGTGGATTAGGAGAGGTGCCGGCTTGCCTGAATGGCTATCAGGCATCCTCAAACTATAGCCCGAGGGCTACATGTGGGTGTTTTTGCCCGTTTGGTTTTCTACTTCAGAATAAGATATGTGCAGTGTGCATAGGAATTTGTTCATAGTTTTTTTAAAACTATAGTCCAGCCCTCCAAAGGTCTGAGGACAGTGAACTGGCCCCCTGTTTAAAAAGTTTGAGGACCCCTGGGCTAAATGAATGAACATAGCCCTTGGGCAGACAGAAGAATAAGTATGGAATGCATTTATCTGAAGAAACAATGTGTTGTATGTAAGTACACAGAAGACAAGGACATGAAGACACCAAGAGATATATTTTTTATAGTTAGATATATTTCCTAATCCTTTTTTCTATTTTTTGATTCTTTCATGATGTAATTTGTCCTGTTTTCATAAGAGTTGGTGAGTTTTCACTGACATGTAAGATAAATGTATAAAATTGTGGATTCAACTGTAAAGAGTTTTCACATTTAACTTTCAGTCATTTTCTTTTACCTCTGTGTCAACATATAGAATGCTAAAATAATAAGATAAAAAATAAAAGTAGAGTTAAAAACACCTCTTTTAAAAGGCAGAGATTGTTTGCTATCTTCCGTTCTTTTATTTATTTTTTTATTAAACTTTTTGTTCTGGAAGAGTTTTAGATTTATGAAAAAAGTTGCAAAGGTAATACACAGTCTGGCCTACTTCATGCCCAATTTCCTCTAATATCATCTCACATTACCATGGTTTATTTGTCAAAACTAAGAAACTGACATTGGTGCATTAGTATTAACTCAACCCCAGACTCTATTTGGATTTCACTACTTTTTCCACTAATAGTGTTCTCGTTATGTACCAGAGTCCAAGCCAGGGCACCACACTGCATTTAGCTTCCTTTTACTCATTGTATTTAAGATGGATTTCTTCTAGAGAACATATAATTGGATCTTGCTTTTTTACCCAGCAAACAATCTCTGCCTTTTAAAAGAGGTGTTTTAAATCCACACGGAGCGGATCCCGAAAGGCCTCTTTGCTTGATAAAAACGTATCATTTTGGTAACTAAATATCATTTTCTTAATGATACGTTGTTATCAAGCAAAGAGTTCATAATAATAGAAAATGGGAAGGAAAACTGTTTCTTTAAACACTGTTCAACCACCTCCTATAACTACAGTGATCGGTCCCTGAACGGGACTAGAAGATTTTATCAGAGTCCTGCGTGGAAACAGATGGCATACAAAGTTTGAACTTGGAAGGAACTCAAAGAAACGGCTATTTACACACATGGTCCAATTCCTCAGCCTGACATCAAAGGCCTTTCGGGATCCGCTCCGTGCCCACCTTTACAGACCTATCTCTTCACTCCAGGACCCCACACCCTTCTATCCCGCCGCCACCGCCGACTAACTGCTGCACCTCCCCGCCCCTGCCGACGCTCGCCTCCAGCCTCCAGGTTTGAACTCGCCGTGTCCTCCGCCAGGTGCGTCCTTCCAGGTTTGTTTACTAGGGACGCTCTTCCTTCCGGGTGTGACAATGTTTTTCACCCTTTCTTTGAGTTTATCATTCTCTCCCCTGGGCTTCCACATCACTGTGCTGTGGATAGTCGCGCAACTCTCACCACACCAGTTTACAATTTAGGAATAATAATGGCTACCACTGACTCAGTCAAAACAAAGGTGCGTCGAATTGCTGAGCGCCGGACCACACTGCTGGGCTTGACCCCTCAGGGCCACCGTCCCCACCCGTTTTTCCGGCTTGCCTTAAAACGCCCACCGCGTAAGTGCGTAGGCGGGAGGGCGGGCTCAAGTCAAGCTGGCGGAGTCCATTGGCTGTACAGGGCCGAGGGAGGCGGAGTGAGGCCTCAGCGTGACGTAAGGACGCTAAGGACAGGACGTCGAAGCCAAAGGACGGCAAGAGACAGCCGGGCGGCCGAGCCGCGTCGTGGCCGTGTTGCTATCGCCTTGGGACGTTGCTAACGTGTCGTGGAAACAAAGGGCCCCGGTTGGTACAGGGAGCGGCGGGCGGGGATGGCATCTCCTTTCTGTCTTGCATCCCGCGAGCCCGAGGCCTTCTCGGCCGTCGTACCAACGGGCTCCGCGCGCGAGCGTCGGCAGGGTGTGGCGGGGCCGGGACAGCCACTGCGCCTGCGTACCAGGCCTGCGGGTGGGTGTGGGGCTTGCGGTGGGCACTGACGCGCGTGCGCTGTTGTCTTCCCTCTCCTCTTCCCTCCCTCGGAATTCTCTGGGTCCGTAGCGTCCCCCACGTCCCCATTGACCGGGCAGTTCCGCGGAGCTCGCGGTGTTGCCCCGGGCGACGGACGGCCTTAGCTCTCCTTCCCCGGGGCGAGGTGCGCAGGCGCGGCATGGCCTGGGCGGTGGCTCCGGGGCCTGTCGTGGGGATCCGGGCGGCCTCCTCCTCCATCTGGCGTCCTCCTTTCCCTTCCCTGGCCTTGTGGGACGGCCAGGTGCTTCCCAGATCCAAGGCCTCGAGTCTAGTTACTCTCCCCGTTTTTCAAACTCTTCCCGGAGCCTCTCTCCAGCACCCCCTCTTGACCTTACCTTTAATCTCCCTTTTTTCCCCGGGGCTCCTCCATCTGTGTCCCCACTCATGACTCCTTGCGTCCACCCACCTTCTGTGCCCTCTTTAAGGCTTCCCTAGGGCTTTTCTCAGCTCCAGACTCCTTTCAACTTCTTGTAAGACTTTTGGGTTCTCCCAGCGGGATTTCCCCTTGAGCCCTCCCCTACTTCTCAGTTATCCCAGGAATTTAGGCTCAGTCCTTGCCAACCCTAGACAACCCTTCACTTTTCTTCGGTCATCTCCACTCCATTCTTAATTTCATAAAGATGTTTTGGGCCGGCTTAGGCATCCGCAAAGCTTTATCTCAAGACCTCCAACCAAGTGGGCCAGGTCTTCTTTCTCCCAGGCTACCCCTCCTTCTAGGATACTCTCATATAGATCTTTTTTTCTGCCCTTTGGGGACCTTTTGAAATCAGATTCAAAGCGCTAAGAACTCATTTCTTCTCATTAGGGTTCCCCTTGGGCATGCTCAACTTCCCCTTGCTTATAGGGGTAACATCCAGAGATCCCATTTTCCATCCCTTTTTCCTCTCAGAAATTTTTCTCCATTCTCCAGTGTTCTCCAGGGCCCAGCCCCTTCCTCCCTCCCTCCTCTCAATGCTCCCTGAAGGGTTTCCCTCCTTACAGAGTTCCTAGAAATCTTTCCATGCCTCTTAGCCTTAAGGGTTTGCTCAGACTTTGTTAGTCTAAGCATCCTCCTCTGCTTCCTTACATAACCCCATATTCTGGAGTTCTTTTTAGACGCTGTTCCCCTTGACTGAAGTTCCCCCACCCCACCCTCTGGATCTTCCCTGGGCCTTTCTTAAAGTTTCCCTCCTACCTTCCCTTTCCACATGTGGATTTTAGACCCTTCTCCTCTTTGGAAAGTCCTTTCAGGCTTCCCTGTTTTCATATCCTTCCTTTTCCACCTGGAGCACCTCTTCTACGAAGAGGCCAAGGGCTTTCCCTGATACTCCAGCCTTTTTAGTCCACACCGTAATTCTCTTCAGATTCTTTACCCCAGTGGCTCCTTCTGTCTCAGATTTTCCTTTTCTGCCTGGCTTCTCATGAGTCCATCTGCTTCTCTTTCCCACTTCATGACATGTTTTTAGCTTCTTCTTGAGCCTCCCTAACTCATTCTTTTTCTCATAGACAGTGAAAAAGCAGTCTGGCTCCCGAGGTCCACCCCTTATACCCCAAGGTCCAGATGGCGGCCAACGTGGGTGATCAGCGTACCACAGATTGGTTAGTGGGGCTAGAGGGACAGAGGCCAGGCAGGGAGGGAAAGAGGAAGCAAGACCTAGTGTTGTCCTCTGGGGTGGGACCTCACACCGCCTTAGGGGGAAGTGATGCAGCAGTCCCAAGGGGGAGTGGGTTGGCCAGCACAGAGGGGAGCATTTGGTTGTAATGTGGAGAGAGGCAAGTCTTCACTTTTCTGAGCTTTCATTTTTCACAGTATAGTGCTTGTTTTGCAGAATTGTGATGATTCATTCAGGCAACTGTAACTAAAAGGCAGCCCCCAAAACTGAATATGGAATCATTTGTCTCTCTGCTAATTCCTTATTTTTTCCAAAACAGTGTGATAACCTGCTGACTGTGGGTGTCAGACAGAATTCTTTGATTCATAAAAGACTTAGTCTTAATTGGTGTCAGGTCTTCTGTTAAGTTCTGTGGGTGCTGGTAATTGTTTTGTATATTTGATTTTAACAACTGCTGTGTGCCATGTATTGGGATAAATACCTTAAGTGGGTGATCTCACTTATCCCTCACAGAAGCCTCTGAAGCAGAAATGGTTATGAGCATAGCATAGATTAGAAAACTTAGGCCCAGATGGGTAGTGAAAGTTAGATCTGGGATTTAAGACCTGATATTTTCCTCCAGCCATCTTGTCCGCCTGTGTGCAGTGGGGAGAACAGATTTGACTTTGTATCCCCTCTTTGCAGGTCCTCTCAATACAGCATGGTGGCTGGGGCAGGCAGAGAGAATGGCATGGAGACCCCAATGCACGAGAACCCGGAGTGGGAGAAGGCTCGCCAGGCTTTGGCCAGCATCAGCAAAGCAGGAGCTGCCGGCAGTTCCACCAAGGCCAGCAGTAATGGGCCTGTGGCCAGTGCACAAGTGAGAAGGCCATACACAGCCCGGGTACCCTGAGCTGGGGATTGCCGTGGGAAAGGCAGAACTTGGTGTCCTGTCATATCACTAGGATGGGATGCGCTATGGGGGAACATAAAGAGATGTTTTAGGGTATCTACATCCGATGAGGGAAATATCTTATTTCCTTGAGGAGCCCATGGCAGGATATGGTCCTGAAGAGGGAGTCCATGCCCTAGTCCCTAACGTGCCTGGGTCTGATGGTAGAGACAGTAGCTCTTTGAAGAGACATGGACCCAGTTCCATGCCTTGGCCATTAACCCCCAGTAAAGATGCCTGCCCTTTTGTGATCTATGGGGCTTGTGGTCTCCTGCCGCCAATGCTGATGGCATGTGGGCCTCTGTTTCCGCAGTACGTGTCACAGGCAGAAGCTTCAGCTTTACAGCAGCAGCAGTACTACCAGTGGTATCAGCAGTACAATTACGCCTACCCCTACAGCTACTACTATCCCATGGTAAGTGCCTGGAGTGGTGGAGGAGGCAGCCAGGGTTATGGGTTAGAGATAGCAGTGACAACTGCTCAAAAATCCTGTGCTAGCTCTTCACTCACAAGGTAAATTCCAAGGTCCCTCCTGGGACCCACTGGGGCCTACATATCTGGTTCTGGCCCCTTCTTTCCTAATGCTTATTCCACCATTGCCACAGAGACCACCTTGGTGTTTGCACATGCCAAGTCCACTCTTGCTTTGCCCTGCTGCAGCTCTTTCCTTCCCTGTAACCCCACTGCTTGGAGGTCTCTGCTCAGGTAACGCCTTCAAAGAGCCCCCGCCTGGCAGACTGCTATTTAAAGTAACATTCTTGCCCCTTAGCATGTCCCTCTGTTCCTTTGTTTGCCTTTTTTTCTTTCATAGTACTTATTGCTAGGCATGCTACATGTTCATGTCTATAACTGTTCATGCCTATAATTTGAGCACAGACTTTATCAAAGCAAGGGGTTTTGCCTTTTATTTCTTGTTTTGTCATAGTGCTTAGAAGAGTTGGCATTCAGTTAAGTATTTGTTGAAGAGAGATTTTTCTGAGAGCTAGTGTTACGTGGGATTGATAGAAATTTTTCTTTTTTTTAATACATGAGAAAATTTGGTGCATTTATACAGTGGAGAGACAAAGAGGGGTGAGGGATCAGTGGATAGTCTGCTGATGTGTGGTTCCTGAGCAGGCCAGAGAAGGGGAGACAGCAGGCATGGCACTGACCCATCCCTTCCCACACCTTTGCAGAGCATGTACCAGAGCTACGGCTCCCCCTCCCAGTACGGGATGGCCGGCTCCTATGGCTCAGCCACGCCCCAGCAGCCATCAGCACCCCAGCACCAGGGGACTCTGAACCAGGTAACACCCCAGCCCTACCCTTGTGTTTTGCCCAAACAGGGGAATGTAGTTTTTTGAGTGGGCTGAAAGTACTGAAGTGCCTGTGCTATTTAAGCTTTTTCTCTTCTGAACATCTCCACATCTGAAAATGAAGAGGGCGCAGCATAGTTTTGAACCTAGGGTGGGTTTAGAGCTTGGGCGTTGAGGAATGGTGGGAGCTTGTCTGTTTTCCCCCAGCATGTGCACCCACATGCGCACACACACAGGCTGGCTTTGCATTTAAAGTGCGGCTTGGAGGAATGGTGGAATTAGTGCACAGGAGGTGGATAGACCTGGGTTTGAATCCCAGCTTGCCCACCCCCAGTGTAATTACTTGTAAGTCACGTGACCTCTGCATATCAATCATGTCTTTAAAGTGGGAAGGATTGTAACCTCATCATAGGGTTCTTGTGAGTGTGTGTAATCACGTGTGTCTTGATAGGCTCAGACAGTAACCACTGGAGTGAGTGTGCTGTCAGGTTATGGTAACTCCAGTGATGAAGTGCTGCCAGCTACCCCTTAACAGCTGGGGCCCTGGGAAAGTTGCTTAGTGCCTCTGAGCCTGAGTCTTCTCAGTTGTGAAAAGGATCCTTAATAAAAGGACATACCTCAGAGAGTTAGGATTGAGAGTGATGACACGTGGGAAGTTCATGGCAGAGTTGAGAGCTGAGTGCTGTTGTTGTAATAATGTGATTATTTGTGCTGAGTGCCACGAGCGCCAGCACCAGAACCCTGCCTCCCATGCTCAGTGCCTGCTTCCTTGTGCAGCCTCCAGTCCCTGGCCTGGATGAGAGCATGTCCTACCAGGCTCCGCCTCAGCAGCTGCCAGCAGCCCAGCCTCCTCAGCCCTCCAACCCCCCTCATGGGGCTCATGCGCTGAACAGTGGCCCTCAGCCCGGGACAGCCCCAGCCACACAGCACAGCCAGACGGGGCCCGCCTCGGGCCAGGCCTATGGGCCGCACACCTATACTGAGCCTGCCAAGCCCAAGAAGGGCCAGCAACTGTGGAACCGCATGAAACGTAAGTTTGCAAAGTTGTGTGGAGACCTGAGGGGTTCAAGTCCTCACAGAGCTCCTAGGTGTGAGGCACAGGGTATGGTGGCCCTTGTGTCTGGGTGTTGTGATGGTCCCGCTTGGGGTGGGGCTGCTCTGGAACTGGCATGTTTGTGCTGGAGTCATTTTTTAGAACTTGGCCTCTCCCATGCAGGCCTCTCCTTGCTCCCTACTGCCCTGGAAGCTCTCATTCTGTGTTCCCTTGGGAGCCACCAGGTGTGCCCATGGAAGAGCCTAACCCTAGCTTTTTGCTGCCCTCACAGCTGCCCCTGGGACTGGAGGTCTCAAGTTCAACATCCAGAAACGGCCCTTTGCTGTCACCAACCAGAGCTTTGGTTCCAACGCAGAGGGCCAGCACAGTGGCTTCGGCCCCCAGCCCAACCCTGAGAAAGCCCAGAACCACAGGTGACGTCTGCCCCTTCACCCCATCCCAGTCCCCATGTTCTGCACCCAGTGTCTGATCCAGTCCCACTGGCAAGCTCCCCACCCTGAGCCTCAGTGTGCTCCTCTGAAAAGGGGAGAAAGACCCTCTCTTGGGAGTTGCTATGAGCAGTGAGTGAGACAGAAAGAAAAACACTTGGATTATGTCTGGCACGTGTGTCAACTGAAAGCACAGTAGTGGGGATGGTCTTTGCTTGGGTTTGGGGTCTTGCCCAGCTGATTCCCCCTGCGTCTACCCTCTACACAGCGGGCCTTCTGCCCGGGGAAACCTGTCCGGGAAGCCCGACGATTGGCCCCAGGACATGAAGGAGTATGTGGAGCGTTGCTTCACTGCCTGTGAGTCGGAGGAGGACAAGGACCGGACAGAGAAGCTGCTCAAGGAGGTGCTGCAGGCCCGGCTGCAGGATGGCTCAGCCTATACCATCGACTGGAGCCGGGAGCCTCTGCCAGGGTTAGTCTGGGACATGGTGGAGGGTGGCCCTGTGCATCAGGGCCAGGCACTGAGCTTGGAGACCAAGAGTCCTAGGTATAGGAGCTCCAAAGAGAAATGAGCCAGAAAGTTGGATCCTGGGGGAATGAAGTCTGGGTTTGGGGGACTCTAGTAGGATGGGTGGGAACCTCGGATACTGGGGAGATGTGTATTGCTTGTGGTTAAGAGCACTCTAGACACACAAAACCCTGGGTTTTCATCCCATTTCTGCACCATATTAGCTGAGTCACCTTGGGTAAGTGCCTTTCTTTTCTGAGGTGATGTGTCCCTGGGGAGGGTTGGTAGGTGAGGCGGAAGGAACGGGGTCTGCGATCTTGCTGGTGTCCAGCTGGGTTGGTGATGCCCTGTCCTGCTGTATCTTCAGGCTAACCCGGGAGCCTGTGACTGAGAGCCCCAAGAAGAAGCGGTGGGAGGCCCCTAGCAGTCTTCACCCTCCTAGGGGGGCAGGCTCGGCGACGAGGGGCGGGGGTGCCCAGTCCCAGCGAGGGACACCAGGGGCTGGGGGTGCTGGCCGAGCCCGGGGCAGCAGCTTCACCAAGTTTGGCAACCGAAATGTCTTCATGAAGGACAACAGCTCTTCCTCCAGCACAGATTCCCGTTCCCGCTCCTCCTCCAGGTCCCCGACCCGCCACTTTCGCAGAAGGTGCCAAGGCTCTGGGCTGGAGGGTGGGCTGGGTGGGTGGGTGGTGTTTCAGGCCTGACCTTCCCGTTTCTTTGTGCAGTGACTCCCACTCGGACTCTGACAGTTCCTACTCAGGGAATGAGTGTCACCCTGTGGGCCGCAGGAACCCACCTGCCAAGGGCCGAGGTGGTCGAGGGGCCCACATGGATCGGGGCCGAGGCAGGGCACAGCGTGGGAAGAGGTAAGACTGGGTGAGGGCTGGAGACACAGGCCAGGGTGGTGGTGCTGGGGGCCCTTGGGAGGAGGAGGAGAACTGGACTGGTGGACAACTGGCTGCTGAGATGCCCGCTTTACTGCCCTTTGTCCCTTCCTAGACACGATCTAGCTCCAACCAAGCGCAGCCGCAAGAAGATGGCAGCCCTGGAGTGTGAGGACCCCGAGCGTGATCTTAAGAAGCAAAAGCGGGCAGCCCGCTTCCAGCATGGACACTCCCGCCGCCTACGCCTCGAGCCCCTGGTGCTGCAGATGGGTAGCCTGGAGAGCAGCGGGGCCGACCCTGACTGGCAGGAGCTGCAGATTGTGGGCACCTGCCCTGACATCACCAAGCACTACCTGCGACTCACCTGTGCCCCTGACCCATCCACCGTGCGCCCTGTAGCAGTAAGTGCCCAGGCAGGGCAGGTCTGCTTAGGTGGTGGTGGCATGAGGCCTGTGCAACTAACCCGGGGAGGGTGGCAGAGGCGATAGAGGGAGTGCGGTGAGCCAGGGGCCTGACTGCGCGATGACCCCACCCTGACCTTCACATGCCTGGCCAGAGACATCTAGGCTGCTGAGCATTCTGAGGTGAATGAGGTGGACTGGCTTGTGCTTGGAGCCCTGCAGTCGGGAGCGTGCAGCCTTGTCAGAATCACTTGGCCTCTGAGCCGCCGTTCCCTGCTTGGGAGATAGGATAAAGCTTCCTTCTCGGCCGGAGTCTGTGGAGCAGGAGGATGATTGTGCCTCGGCATCTCGGCTGAGTTCCAAAATAGCAGTGTGGTCACTGTTCCACTCTGGGGCGCACATACAGCAGTGTGCTTACACTGGGGACAGGTGTGGGCGTATTTACTCTCAACTTGTGTTTTAGGTATTTTTTTTTAGCTTGGGTAGGTAGTGAGTCCCTAACATGGGTTTGTTGAAACACATGTTAAAATTACCAAATTAGTGGAAATGTGGGTTTTAGCGTGTTTTTGCTTTCCTCCTGCCTGAGTTGTACCCTGAGCCTTACTTCGTTTCCCTTCCCAGGTTTTAAAGAAGTCGCTGTGCATGGTCAAGTCCCACTGGAAAGAGAAACAAGACTACGCCTTTGCATGTGAACAGATGAAGTCGATCCGGCAGGATCTGACGGTGAGGCTCACACTGGGAGGGCCTTGGTCTGGGCCAGTCCTGCCCCAGCTCCCTGTGACTCCTGTTCTCTCCCCGCTGCCCCAGGTACAAGGTGTCCGCACTGAGTTCACAGTGGAGGTGTACGAGACCCACGCCCGCATCGCCTTGGAGAAGGTAAGTGGGCCACCGTGGGCCTCCCCATCTTCCTCCCCTGTGGCCGCTCTTCTCTCTGTGGCCTTACTCTGCTCTCCTTCCTCTGTGTCCTGCCTTCCAGGGAGACCATGAAGAGTTTAACCAGTGCCAGACGCAGCTTAAGTCACTATATGCTGAGAATTTGCCCGGCAATGTGGGCGAGTTTACTGCCTACCGGATTCTCTATTTTATCTTCACTAAGAACTCAGGAGGTGAGGCACAGTCCCCCGGGTGGGGCTGCGGTGCCCTGGGTTGAGCCTTGCTGACCTGACGCCCTTTGTCTTGGGCCCTAGACATCACCACAGAGCTGGCATACCTCACCCGGGAACTGAAGGCAGACCCTTGTGTGGCCCATGCCTTGGCGCTAAGGGCGGCGTGGGCTCTGGGCAACTACCACCGCTTCTTCCGGCTCTATTGTCATGCACCCTGCATGTCTGGCTACCTCGTGGACAAGTTTGCAGACCGGGAGCGCAAGGCTGCCCTCAAGGCAATGATCAAAACGTATGTGGCGCTGAGCTCCCCCTCTGCCCTCTGCTCTTCTGGCCCTTTTGCCTCACATTGCCCCCAACACACTCCTGGCCACAGGCCGCCTCGTTCCCCATTGTTGGGGCCACCTCCCCCGTGTCCTGGCTTTCTCTCCCACCTCTTCTTTCGTTACTCAGCTCTTCTCTCTGCAGCCCCTTTTGCTTTCCTTCTCACAGCCATTCTCTGTGTTCCGGGTCCCTCCTCCGTGCCCTCCTCCTTCTCTTTCTCCTCCCACCATTCTTATCTCACTGCTCCTGCGTTCCCATCTCCACCCCGTCCTGTGCTTCTCTTCCTCCTGTTCAAGTCTGCCTGGACCCTAATTCATCTCTTGGCTCTGAGCTCTGGCCTCCCTTCCCTCCAAGGTCTCTGTCCACCTTTTACAGCTTCTCACTATGCTCTCACTCTGTAGAAACAACCTAGACAGCTTTCGGTCTAACTGGACAGGGCCCATATTCCCACTCAGCTCCTCTAAGAGTGCCAGAAACATTTAGGGAGACCCGTTGATGGGGCAGCCATGCTGCAGGTGGTGCAGAAAGGCTGTTGGACAGCTGGGCCCTGGCTTACTGAGCAGGTCCTCTGTTTACCAGACATTGGGTTGGGCTCACTGGGTGTACTGGGGGAGATGCTTGACTCATGCCTAGACCCCTTGGTTCTCAGTCCAGGGAATGAAGGGACCCCAGGGAATATCAGACAATGTCAGGAGATGTTTTTGGTTGTCACAGCAAAGGGATGCTACTGGAATATAGTGGGTAGAAGCCAGTGATGCTGCTAAGCATACTGCAGCGCCCAGGGTGGCCCCCACAGGGTAAGCTGGCCCCAAATGTCAGTGTTGCGGAGGTTGTGAAACGCCAGTCGAAGAGGTGGGTTGGTAGGCTGAGGGGTCTTGAATGCCAGGCCAGCTGGCCTCTTGATGACAGTAGTAGTCACAGGATGGTTTGGAGCTGGGGATGGGCCATGGAGGTTAGGAAACTCGTTCTGGGATCTAGTTTGGGTAAAGCCAACTTTAGGGAGAGGCTGAGCTAGGGTGGACCCCACAGGAGCAGAAGAGGACATGGGGTGGTACACATGCAGGAGGCACAGTGCACAGCACTCATCACTAGCTCAGGAAGTGACGAAGGAGGAGACAGTGAGGCCACCCAGCCCTCTGTGACTTGATAGGGCCCGAGACGGGCAGCTGTTAAGCTTCAGTGCTATACATGGTGTGTGGTTGGATGAACCAGCCTTGGCTGGTGACACGGCCCTGAGTGTCCTTTGTGGGTGAGCCCTGGTTTGTCATTGGCCTCAGTTTCAGTGCCTTCCTGCCTAGGAGGCTGGAGCCACCACTCCTTGACAAGCATCCTTCCTCAGGCCCCAGAGCTGTGTCCTTGCAGGCCAGCTCAGGCTGGGAGACGGAGCAGGCTCTCTGATCCCAGGGTCGCACTGGCTTTGGAGCAGAACCAGCTTCTAGTACTTAGTGCCACTCACTCAGTGCCTTTATTGAGTGTGTGTAAAGGGCCTGGCAACGCGGCCTCTGTAAAAGGGTCCTGTGAGTTAATGGGAAGCTCTGGGGACAGCTGATTGCTGGCACATGTCAAGTGCGCAACCAATAGTATCTCTTCTTAATAGCAACCAAAAATTGCTGCTTTGAGTATATAGCAATGAGTGCTGGCTGGTACACCTGTGCTCAGGTTCCCAAAAGCACTCTGACCCAGGGCAGGGGAAGCAGCAAGGGCTGGGGTCCCCAGGGTGGCACCGGCAGCCCCACTGTCCTGTCCCATCCCATGTGCTTCTCCCTCCATCTGGTCACTGCCCCTCAGCCAGCGGAGGAGCCCGCTGGGCCCTTTCCCTCCCGGCCCCTGCCCTTCCTGACCCCCTGCACAGGTAAGTGAGGGTGAGGGGGGGCACAGCTGGGGACTGGGGCCACCAACCCCACCCCGGGCCCCCCCAAGCCCCTGAGGTGGGGAGGTTGGGAGAGGGTGGGGGAGCCAGCAGGTACCGTCCTGAGGAAACCCTGTGGGTACCCGAATGGGGGGCCTCGCTCCCTCCTCGTGGGGCCCTCGCCTGCCCGCCTCATCGCTTTCTCCTCTTGTCTCCGTAGCTTCCGCCCTGCGCTGCCAGTCTCCTACCTGCAGGCCGAGCTGGCCTTCGAGGGCGAGGCCGCCTGCCGGGCCTTCCTAGAGCCCCTAGGCCTGGCCTACACGGGCCCGGACAACTCCAGCATCGACTGCCGCCTCAGCCTGGCGCAGCTGTCAGCCTTCTGAGCACCCAGCGAGGATGGGGGCGGGGGGGCAGGGGCTGCAGCCCCCCAACGCCGCCTTTGCGGATTTTGTTTTTGAGCCGTGGACTTGGGTTGTAAATTAATTTGTGGGGATCAGGCTCCAGGAAGAGCCACTGTCCCTGCCCCCGTTTTCCCACCGGGGAATCTGTACAGAGATTTTTTCTACATTTTTATTTTTTGCCTCAGAGGGATGGGATTCGGGGAGGAGGGAGTGGGACAGCAGAGGGTTGGGGGCATGGTCTGTAGGCTTGTCTGTCCACCCTTCACCTCCACTAATGCTGTCTCAGTGTTTTTTCTCTCTCTCTTTCGAGCTTGTACTCCGGTACCCGACCCGGCGCCCTGGCCTATCCCATGCCAGGGGGGCCAGTGGAAAGAAGACAGGCTGTCCAGCCCGGGCCCGCCTGCGGCGGGGGCAACCAGCCACCCAGCCCACCGCCTGCTGTCTCATCTGCCTCATCACAGACTCTTGTTGCCCAGCCCTCTGGGGCCTCAGTGTTTGGGGTGAGGGGAGCTGCTTAGAGACTATGCCCCACCCTCGGCCCCCCACCCCAGAAACGCCAATGCCAGCACCACCACCACAGATCCACCACCACGGCGCACTGAGGACTCCGGAGGCCATCGCGGGACCTCGCCGGCCGGGCCGCCTCGTCTCAAGTTGTATTAAGTTGTCTCCGTGTCCCCTCCTCCCTCTACCCCCAATGTTTCTTCTGGTTTTTTTTTCTCCTTTCCCTCCCTCCCTCTTCCTGCTTCCCATCCCCCCCTTGGTTCAGCACAGGTAAAATGGTTACCCCTCCCTCCCCGCCTTCATGGATCACCAGCTCACGTCATGTTTCCTTCTCTTTTCTTTTTGTGTGTGTTTATTTAAGTTATTTTTCTTCTTCCTCCCCCTTTTCTTTTTGGTCCTCCCTCCCTCTTCTGCCATGTAACTGGAGGATGTGCTATGAGTTTGCAAACAGCTGGACTGTCAGGCTGCTTTTTTTCCAGATGTTCCTCCTCTGCCTCCCCTTCCCCTCCTCTCCTCTCCCCTTTCCTTCCTTCATTCTTTCCTTGGAGCACTGAGCACCATTTGGAAGCTTGAGAGAAACCAAAATTAAAGAGAGAGAGAGAGAGAGAAAGCACTTCCTTCTGACTTGTCCTTCCTGTTTGGACTGTCTTTCCTCCTTGGGGTGTTTGGATCCAATTTGGCTACTCCAGGGGAATCTCAGCCAGCAGCCTGTAGGTACTTCCTGTCCTCCCCATAGGGCACAGCCAGGTTCTCCTTAGGGGCTGGCTCCCCACTTCCTGACTCAGGCTTAACCCAGGCTTGGGGAAGTAGACTTGGGAACCATGGGCACCTTGGCCAGTGTGAGGTGGTGCCACTCCCTGGGGACTGTAGCACACTTAGCCCCTTGGTCTCCAGCCTCTGGCTCAGCACTTGTGCCATGCTTTCCAGTGTGGGAGAGGGTGGGGGCACAAAGCACATGGCCGCCCAGGAGTACCTGGCCCCTGAACCTCAGCTGGGGGCTGCTTGAAGCTCTGGGACCCAAGGGCCTGTCTCAAAGCCCCAAAGGTGGCTGCTGCCTCCCCAGGGCCCGAGAGCTGCAGCAGGGCCAGTGTCAGGTGCAGGGCCTGTGTGGGCACCAGCAACAGCACAGGATAGAGCGACAGTGGACCAAGTGTTGCTAGGCATGGCAGTTTCTGCCTGTCGCCCAGGATAGGTCACTATGAGGGTCATAAAATGTGTGGGGTGAGGTTTGCAAGAGTACACAGCCTTAGCCAGAATGGCCCTTTCTTCATCTTTGGGTCAGGCCCCAGGACCCGGCTCTGCCAGCATTCTGCCCTGGGGCCACAGGGACCTGTGCTGCCCTGGCCAGCAGCTGGCTGGTCCTGGCGGCTACTGTTGGCTTCAGTGTCTTCTCACTCTGTTCTGTGAGGTGCCCTCTTGGGTCTAGTGTTCCCATATCAGCGCCCTCTCCTTGGCTGCCTCCATCTCCGAGATTTCAGACCGGCTTTCTGCTCCCTCCTGGAAGGGCAACACTGGTCGGCCGCCTGTTTGGGCCCTGCCCAGGTCCTCTCTACACCCCAACTCCATGGTTCTCGTCACCATTGTATGTGTCCTCTCCCCTGCACCCATCCCTGCTGCCCAGCGCATCCAGCATGGCAGGCACGAGCCCAGCTGCCAAGCTCGAGCCAAAGACCTGAGGTTGGTGGGGGCGGAAGCGGCGCACGCGGTGCTGCTGTTGGGCCTGGGCCGGCACCGGTGCTCGGGCTGCCTGTCTTAGATTGAGCGCCGACAGGCTCTTCGCGCATGCCTGAGAGGTCGGCGGGTCCTCCCCTATTCGCTGGATGGCGGTCACAGCCTTGGCCTGCATCCCGGCGCGATGGCGCCGGCGCCCTGGGATGAGTTGGCGGCAGTGGGCGCTGAAGTGGCTGCGGCCCTCCAGGAGGAAGCAGCAGGCCGGCGGGGACGCGGGCACCGCAGCTGGGGACTCTAGCGCTCTCTGGCCGCCGCCAAGGGTGCGGGGGTGGGGGGTGGGGTGGGGGGGACAACTGGCGCGCTCACCACGCAAACCAGGCCGCCCGCGCGCCGATGGCAGCCCTGCCTGGACAGCGTCTTAACCCGACTGTGGTGTCAGCGACCCGCGATCCCGCCACCACCCCCACTTTCCACCCTCGAGGTCCACGCCCGGGGCACTCGCTCGGGAGGACTCTGGCCCTGCCGTCTCCCGTTGATAGCCGGTTGCCTCCGCCCGGGACCTCCCGCGCCCGGAAACCACGCTCAGTCCCTGGAGAGGCCATCTTGGTCTTGGTCCGGGTGAGCTCTAGGGAGCCCGATCCCGCCCCCAGCCCAAGTGATTCACTTGTGCCCCGCCCAGCCCGGTGACTTTCACGCATGTCCCGCCCCTCGCCAAGTAATTTGCGTGTGCCCCGCCCCATTTCAATTTATTTGCATGTGCCCCGCCCCTTGGGCCATTATAATCTGGCCCCATGCCCAGCCCAAGTGATTTACTGGTGCGGCAGTCTCTGGGACCTCAGAGCTGCCGTCCCCCTGCAACCGGCCGGTAGCAGTACCAGTCGCTGTTAGGCGCGGGGCTGCACAGCAAGAGGTGAGCAGCGGGCAAGTGCCCGGAGCTTCATCTGCATTCACAACAGTTCCCCATTGCTTGAATCACCCCCGCCGTTGTCTTCCATGAAACCGGTCCCTGCTGCCAAAACGGTTGGGGACCGCTGCAGAGAACTTGGCTTCGACCTGGGTCCAAATGATTTGCACGTGCGGCCTCGCCCCTCTGGGATCTTGGAGAACCAGGACATTCATGGGCTCAGACCTAACTTTGTAGCCCAGACTTAGGACAATGCCACCACCCTGCTGCCGACGCACCGCAGGAAACAGAGGCCCTCCCCCAAGGGGATCACGCCCTTGCAGGCTTTGAAAGGGTTCCCAGCCATTGCCCTCTGTCGTCCTCCCCCAGCAAAAGGCGGGGTCCTCCTAAGACGTGCCGGGCTAAGAGGCTGAGGCTCCCGGACCGCAGCACTCAGCTGGCTCTGCGCAGCCCCTCTGGGCCGAGCGTGCAGCCCAGCCCCGGGGACCACCTCGGGCAGGCGTTGGTGCTCAGTCAACATTTGGTGAATGAAACTTAGCCCGCCTTCTAGGAAGGACACCAGCTGGCCACGCACCCTGACTCTCATAAAGGAGACGCATCCTACTCGAGGTCATTCAACCTGGACCCTAAACTCCAGGCCCAACATCTGGGTCTCCAAGGCGCAGGAGCGTCTCACCCCCTCTCCGTCGCCCCTCCCTCAGGGCACAGTGAACACTCAGAGCCCAGGGTACGGGCCTTGGCCATTTATGTATACAGCGCCGGGGTGCAAGGATTGGGAGCGCCTAAAGGCCGATGATGTCGTCCAGCTCGAGGTCCGCGTTGGGGCCGTAGCGGGCCCTGGGGTGCTGAGTCCCTGTGCCGGGGTCCGCGTCAGGCTTGGCGGCCGCAGCCACTGGGCCCGCTGCGTCCATGACGCCCAGTACCGCATCCAGCATGGAGGGGCCCAAATCCAGGTGGAAGGACAGCAGCGGGTCCGCGGGCGCGGGCGCCCGGAGAGCAGGCGCCGGGGGCTGTGGGACAGCGGGCGGCGGTGCTGTGCGCGGGGCGCCGGCCGGGGGCGTCCAGGGCTCTGGGGGCGGCCCGCCGCCGTGGCGGCTCAGGAACGAGGTATCCCCGAAGGCGTCGCCGCCGCGCCCCACGTGCAGCGTGTGCCGAAAGTCGCCGAGCGGCGCCGAAATGGACAGGACGCCTCGATCGGGCCGCTTCTTGGGCTGCGTGGGGCCCAGCTGCTTCAGCACTGGCATCTGTGAGAGGCACAGGCGGGTCAGCGCTGCCTCCACCCCGAGAGCCCCCGATTCCGTGTCCCCGGCCCAGGGCCTAGCTAGCCATGTGGTTCTCCCAAAGGATGCTCTCGCTGAGAACAGGACGATGGTGGGATTATGTCCATTTTACAGGTGGGGAAAATGAGGCTTTGAGAGGTCCAGTGGGCACAGCTGTTGGACTAAAATCTCAGATTCAGATCTAGGTTGGCCTGCCTCCAAAATACACACGACCACCACGCTATGCCGCTCCTCCTAAAAACGAGTATTAGAGCCTTCCTATAGGTCAGATAACAAAAAAGTACTTCGCAAACTTCCAAGAGGGAAATTCCCAGGCCCATTTCCTGAAGACAAGGCTGACTCGGTCCTTTAGGCAAAGCAGGCACAGTGTGTAGAGCCCACGACACACACACGTGGAAGAAGAAGCCTAAAAAGGATTTGTCTCAGGTGCACAAAAGTCACAGAGCAGGCCTCAAGACCCTAACTCAGGAGGTTAGGGTGGGCCTGGGGGTCTGTTACTGGCACAGCATTTTATAATTTCAATTGCAGTCCTCCCTGGGTATCCACGGTTCCAAATAAGCAGACTCAACTAACTGCGGATCAACAATAACTGGGGAAGGTTCCAGCCCATGCAAGAGGGAGACCCGTCTCTACTAAAAATGGAAAGAAATTAATTGGCCAACTAAAAATATATAGAAAAACTTAGCCGGGCATGGTGGCGCATGCCTGTAGTCCCAGCTACTCGGGAGGCTGAGGCAGCAGGATCACTTAAGCCCAGAAGTTTGAGGTTGCTGTGAGCTAGGCTGACGCCACTCTAACCCAGGCAACAGAGTGAGACTCTGTCTCAAAAACAAACAAAAAACAATATTTGGGGAAGAAATGTAAAAATACAAATTAAAAAACAATACAACTATTTGCATAACATTTACATTGTATTAGGTATTATAAGTAATCTGGAGATGATTTAGAGTATACAGGAGGAGGTGCATTGGTTATATGCAAATACTAGTCCATTTTATATACAGGACTTGAGTACACTCAATCTTGGTGTCCATGGGATGCCTGAAACCAATCCCTCCCGCCACCTCCCGGGGCTACCCAGGGGTCACTATATCTGATTTTGAAAGATCATGACCTAAAAATACGTTCTCTCATATTTTGTAACATAATAATCATACAAATTCCCCTGTGTTAAAATAAGAAAATAGCAAGCCTGGCATAAACTTGAAGCTGGCAGCTTGTAAATTGCAAAGTAGGTGCTCTATTGCGCATGGCCACGCCAGATTCAACAGTAAACTGAAATGCAACCAACCTCTGTCCGTATCCTGGAACTTGGCTGTTTTCTGTGGAACTTCTGGGAGGGACTCTGATGACCTTGTACTTTTGTTTTAACAGTCACTGTTATTATAACAAAAAAGAAAAATCCTTTCTTCTTTTTCAATCGAAGCCCCACCCTTTTTGCCAGCTGTACGAATTGAGATAAATGACTTTATCTCCCTGTCTGTTTTCTTCTCTGTAAAATAGATAAAATAACACTACCTTCTTTGCAGGGCACATAGAAAAATTCAAGCCAAGAAAACTATATTTTAATAGCATCAAGCAGTTGGTAGTGCTCGTGTTGTGGGGGGGTGGGGGAGAAATACGTCCCCAAACAATAACTGTGGAACAAAAATTAGATTTGATGATAAAACACTACTAGGGGGAAAAAAGCAGCTAGCATTGTTTTTGTAGTAACAGGCACCCTGGGAAGTACTGATGATAATGTGTAGAAAAATTAAAGCCGAAAGGATGTAAAACAATTGTTGATGGGTGTATTCTGAAGCCTGTTTTCCACCTAGCACACACACACAGACACACACACACCTTACATTTATTTCTCTGGGGAAACCAGTCTTGATTTACCACGTCTGCAGTGTTTATCAAGTATCTCCAACCTCAACCCAGCACACAATCACCACCCCCTCTTCTCCCATAATGGAAACAAAAATTCTATGAAACAAGACTTACCTGACAACATGGTAGGCACTCTGATACTTTCTATTCTAATCTATTTTATTTTCAAATGTTGAACTCAGCTCATTAATGAATCTGAATCCACAGTTTAAAATAGAAACCTTCTCTAGGTGATAGCAGAGCCCATTATCTCAGCACTTGCTCTGAGTTAGAGGCAAAAAGAGTAGAATTCAGAAAGCCAACTGCTCAGGTTTGGATTTGGGGGTGTTGATTGCTGTGTGGCTTTGGGCAAGTTACTCAACTTTTATGACCTCATATCCTCATCTCGAAAATGGAATGGTGCTAATATAATACATTATAGTCCTGCAAAAATTGATGAAGTCATGCCCATGAAAGTCTTAGCACAGTACCCAGCACAGTTAACGTTCAGTAAATAAATAAATGCTCAGTGGAGTCTGTGATGCCAGGCCCCCTCTTCTCCCTAGATCAAAAAAGAAAAGGCTCACAAGACCAGACCCGCCAAGGACAAAACTGCTAGGCCCCGCTGAAAGGAATCATACCCACATGTCCACCCAGATAAGAAAGTTTTGGCTTCTGGATCCTACAAATACCGCCAACCCCTCCTATTTCTCAATGACCACCAAGGTCGTCCTAGCTCTTCCCGCCAAAAGTCCCTAGCCTGGCCCAAATGGTATAAAAGTCTGCACCCCTTTCAAACGGGGGCAACTTCTGGGGCCCCCCCTCTCTTGGAGCCCCAGAACCTCCTCCAGGAGCACTAAATAAAGCCACGTGATTTGGCTCCACTCTCTCTCTCTCTCTCTCTCTCTGTCTTTTCTTTTCGCCACCACTGAAAAGCCTTACAAAGTCCCACCTGGACATTCTTGCAGTGACCCAGAGAAGGAAACATGCTCAGGGAGAGTGTGTGACTTGTGCAACATTCCAAAGCCAGCTTTGTGGGACCCCAGAGCTGGGAGTCGCCTCCTTCCTCCTTCAAGAGGTCTGCGACCTCTTGAACTCACCCCTCCCTGACTGGTCTCAGCTACTACAGCTTCCCACTTCTCACAGCCCAGCTCCCAGCTTGGGTCCTCAGTCCATCCTTCCCGTGCCCTACAAGTCACTGCCATTTTCCAGCACCTGGCAACACATTAAGGTCTTGCTTGGTTCCTGATGTCAACTACACCTGGGCTCCAACTTTGCCATTCCTTTTTGTGGGACCCCAACCTAGCTTCCTCAACCTAAATCTCAGTTTACTGCTCTGAAAACAGAAGTCAAAATTCCTGTTTGTTACAACGCATCAGAAAGTATACTCATGGTGCTGTTTTATTTCTCAAGTGCTTATTCTGGGCCAGCCACTCCACAAGGATGAACTAATTCATTTAATCTTCGGAACAACCCAGTGAGGGGGAGATTATGATTACAATGTCTGTTTTACAGATGTGTGATGGCTGAGACACAGAGAGGGCAAGTAACTTGCTCTGGGTCACACAGCAGCAAATGCTGCGGGCTGGATTTGGAATCCAGATGAACTCTAGAGTCAAAGAATTATATTGCATTGCCCATAGCTGCCCTCCCCAATAGAAGAGGGTGGGTGTGCAGCCCCACGGAGAAAAAATAATGTTTGATTTGATATAAAGACCAAGGGTTTCCTTGCACCATTGACTCCCTCCCCCCGTCTTCTCTCTTTTCCATTCCAGACAAGCACAATGAGTTAGGACTCATTTTCAAATGCCACCTCTTCTCCTGGCTAGCTCTGAGACCTTGGGCAAGTCACTTCACTTCTGGGCCTGGGTGCTCTCTTGAATAGAAGGCCGCGATCTCCCTCTGGCAGGGTTGCTGTGCTTGGTGCAGTGAGGTCATGCTTGGAAAGAGTTCCTCACGCGGCCAGGGCTAGCGGCACAGAGGGGCTGTTGTTTGTGACCAACGTGAAGCAGCCAGAAAGCCGGGCGCAAAGGCTGGAGCCCCGGACGCCCTCTCCCGCCTCCACCCAACCTCTCTTTCCTGCCCCCGCAGGGCCAGGGGGATGGGGGCACAGCTGGTTCACCTCTGTCCTCTCTCAGCTCCAGCCCGGCCAGGACGGAAATAACAACCCGCTCCGGATCTGGCCGGACTGGTTCTCAAACCCGCGTGAGAGGCAGGGAAGCGGTGGGGCCTGGGCGGGGCCGGGGAACCCGGACTGGGAGACCCCGCCCCACCCCCACCCGTCGGGGCTCCACTGCGCGCTTCCTGAGGCCACGTGGCTGCTGCCAGGAATTCAGCAGCCGCAGCTATCCTCGGCCTTCAGTTCCTTCTTCCCGCGACAGGACAGGACGGGGGACTCCTTCCCACCACTGCCCCTTACCTCGCGGTCCTCCCCAGCCGGCTCCGCGCACTCCCTCGACTCGGGCTCCAACTGGGACCCCTCTCCCCCTGGCTCAGAGTCCGCCTCCGCCTCCTAGTGCCCTGCCTTCGCCTTCTTCCTTCTTCCTCCGGGGCGGATCTCACCTGGCAAAGAAAGTGCCATGCGAAACCCGGAGGGGATTTAGGACGCAGGCATCTGGGCCTGCAATGCCACCTCCTCGGGCCGCCTCCTGTCCTGTCGGCGCGGGAGTCCTGGCTCCTGGCTCCCTCAGGCCCAGAAGCCGGCCCCCAGCCCCTCCTCCTTCAGTTCCACTGGTGGGGCCCCTAGCCCCCTCCTCCAGACTCAGAAGGCCAAGGCCCCAGGCTCCTCCCCGGGCCTAAGCGTCTGAGCCCTACCCCCGGCAGGCCTTGGCATCAGGACCTTTCCTTACCTGCACCCAACTAAGGTGTCAGCCCCTCTCGGGGGCCATGGTAGGAGCCCAAGCAGACGCAGAGTCGCTGCTCAGTCCAGCTCAGTTCAGTTCGCTGTCCCCAGCAGACAGGGTTGAGACACAGGCCTCGTCCAGCCCTTCTTCTCCAAAATTTGCCTGTAGGTTTCACGAGACTAGAAAGCAGTGGTGGAAACGCGGAGGCCCCTGTGTCCTGAGTGTGGGGCGGGAAGAGGCTGGGACTAGAACTCGCAGAGGGGGTGGGGGATGGACAGGGCGCACCCCCAAGCCTGGCCCCTCCCTCTGCCCAGCTTGGAATTTCCTGAAACTGGGGAAGTCTGGCTGTTTAGAAGAGTAATTTATTCCAGATTGCAGCTGTTGGGGGAGTGGGAGAGGGAGAGAGAGATAGAGAGAGAGAGAGAGACAGACAGACAGACAGACACACACACACACACACACACACACACACACACACACGGGCAGGCAATGAGATCAGCCAGAGGATGGAGGTGGTCTGAAAGAGGCAGCTGTGGCCCTGCTTTGGGGAGTCCCCAGGATGGATGTCCCTCTCTGAAGCCACCCACCATAGAACTCCACAGAAAGGTCATATATCACTCTGAGGACCTGTGTCTATTGGAGTTGGAGACAAGAGTCAGATTGGGGTGATAGGAAGATTCCTCCAGGGCCAGTGTGAGGCAGGGCCTGGCAGAGGACACAGTCCTCAGCTCTGAGGCAGGCTCAGTGGGAGGGCGGTGGAGGCCCAGGTGGGAGGCTGACTCAGGGGGCGGGAGGTGGAGGCCCAGGTGGGAGCTGGGTCTGTAGGAGGGAGCTGGAGGCACAGGTGAATGCCCAGGTGGGAGGGAGGTGGAGGCCCAGGTGGGAGGCTGGCTCAGTGGTTCTACCCCTAGCTGGGGCTGGGTTGTGGGGCTTGATCGAGTCAATTTAAATGATAACAAGAAAGTGCCTTTGTACTGGGTCTTAAAGGAAGAATGACAGTTTATTGAGCCCAGTGGAGGAGGAAGGAAGGTGGGGAAGGCAGGTGGAGCAGAGGGCACTCCAACTGGGTGGGGCTGGGTTTACCTGGAGAGGCCAGCTTGAAAGCCACTGGGAGCTTAGACCTTGTTCTGGAGGCATGGGGGACCTGCAGAGGAATACCAAGGTCAGATCCAGGTGTGAGAAAGTTCCCTGGGGTCCAGGCAGGGCATGGGCTGGGACAGGCTTGGACTCAGCCTCCAGAGCAAAATTTAAAGGTGTGAGAAATGGTCACCAAAATCTCAGTAATCAAGAAAAATAATATATCTAATCACAACTTTTGTTTTGTTTTTCTTTTTTTTTTGAGACAGAGTCTCACTTTGTTGCCCAGGCTAGAGTGAGTGCCGTGGCGTCAGCCTGGCTCACAGCAACCTCAATCTCCGGGGCTCAGCGATCCTACTGCCTCAGCCTCCCGAGTAGCTGGGACTACAAGCATGCGCCACCATGCCCGGCTAATTTTTTGTATGTATATTTTTAGTTGGTCAATTAATTTATATCTATTTTTGGTAGAGACGGGGTCTCGTTCAGGCTGGTTTCGAACTCCTGACCTTGAGCAATCCGCCCGCCTCGGCCTCCCAAAGTGCTAGGATTACAGGCGTGAGCCACCGCGCCCGGCCCACAACTTTTTATTTAGTATTTTTATTAATGTAAAATTCACATCACATAAAATTAACTATCGTAAAATGTACAGTTCAGTGGCATCTGGTACATTCATATTGTTGTGCAGCCATCACCTCTATCTGGTTCCAAAACATTTTCATCACTCCAAGAGAAAGTCTTATTATGAAGTCCCTCCATTGCCCCCAGTCCCCAGCCCCTGGAAACCACCAATCTGTTTTTTTATTCTATGACTTTACCTATTTGGGGCATTTCATGCAAATGGAATCATACATTGTATAGCCTTGTATGTCTGGCCTCTTTCAACTTAGCGTGTTTTCAAGGTTCAACCAAATTATAGCATGAGTCAGTGTTTTATACACACATATATTATTAATATATGTTTAGATATAAAGATATTTATTTCAAGGAATTGAGAACATGACTACAGGGGCTGGCAAGCCTGGAATCCATAGGGACAGCTAGAAACTGAGGCAGGAGCCAATGCTGCAGTCTGGAAGTAGAATTTCTTCTTCTTCAGAGAAACCTCCATTTTTCTTTTAAGGGCTTTCAGTGGGTTGGAAGACGACCACCCACATTATCAAGGGTCATCTCCTTCATTTAGAATCAACAGATTGTAGACGTTAACCATATCTGCAAAAATGCCTCTACAGCAACACCCAGACTGGTGTTTGCTGGAATAACTGGGGACTAGAGCCTAGTCAAGTGGACACATAAAACTAACCATTACACCAGATAATCCCCCTAACATAAATCCATAACCTTAATTGCATCTGCAAAGCCCCTTTGCCATGTGATGTCAGATCCAGGGGGGATGTTGAGAGCCAAAGCAGGATTACAGGCTTGAGCCACCGCGCCCGGCCCCCATGCTCTTTTTAATGCTCAGGTGTCACCAACTTGAAATTCGTTATCATTTTGAACATGGGGCCCCACATTATCATTTTCACTGGACCCCACCAATTATGTGGCCAGTTCTGGATTGAAGTGCAGGAAGGGCAGCAATTCAGAGATAAGAAGGAAAGTAACTCTGGACAAGGTCCTGGTAGTAGCCAGGGAAAGAGAAGAAGGAGGAGGAGAAAGGTGTGTCCCAGAAGCCTGGGGAGGATGCCCAGTCCCTTTTCCTTGCAGTCTCAAAAGCAGTCCAGATATGGTTAAAAAAATAAGAAGGGGTCCACTGGATTTAGTAACAACCCAGAGGCCACTAGTGGCCTGAGTGAGAGCTGACCTAAGGGGACCAGGTAGGATAAAGCCAGACTGCAGTGGGAAGGCAAGGAAGTTTGGAGAGATTAGCAGATCCTCTGAGAATGGTGAGAGATAGAGAATCTGGAATGGTAGGTCTAGTCACAGCAAGGTTTCTGAGTCTTTGGTTGGTTTGGATACATTTTACTACTATCTCATTTGTTTTAAAAAGTAATTTTTAATGACCCAAATGATACACGAACACATTCTCTTTGGAGAGGGAGGGATGGGGGAGAGACAGAGAGAGAGGAAGAGAGAGAGAACTTTAACAATGCTTGGATGACCTTTTCCAATCTAGGCTCTTCAGATACACAGACTCCCTCAGCACTCCTATCATCTGGGGCTGGGTGATTCTTTGCCATGAGGGGTGTGAGGGACTGTCCTGTGCACTGTAGGGTGTGGAGCACAGTCCTTGGGCTCTTCTCCTGCCAGAGGCCAGCAGCATTCTCCACTCCTCCCCGCCCCCATATGTTTCCAGATCGTCTGCCCAGGCTGCTATAACAAAATACCATAGACTGCGTGGCTTATAAATAACATTTATTTCTCACAGTTCTCGAGGTTGGGAAGTCCACGATCATGTCTCCAGCAGATTTGGGGTTTGGTGAGGGTCCCTTCCTTGCTCGCGGTCAACTTCTGCCCATGTCATCACATGGTAGAATGGATGAGGGTCTCTCTGGGTTTCTAAGGACACTAATCCTATTCATGGGGGCTCCACCTTCAGGGCCTAATCACTTCCCAAAGGCCCCACCTCCCAACATCTTCATCCTGGGGATTAGGATTTCAATGTGTAAATATTAGGCAGAGACAAATATTCAGATTATAGAACAGACATTGCCAAATGTTTCCTGGGGTGGAAAAATCACCCCTGGTTAAGAATCACTGATATAGATTGTACTCAAAGAAAACATGTGCCACATTTTAAACATACAAATGAAATCCTACAGGATGATTTTGGGTCACCACTTTTCCCCCCACTTAACAATGTATTTTGGCAATCATTCATTATCAGCACATACAGATTTTAAAAAAAAGGAGGACTGAGCTTACAAAAGTATATAACAACAACAATAAAAGCTAACATTTATTAAATGCTTAAAACCTTCTGAGAGCTGTATTAAGCCCTTTTCAGATGTAACCTCATTTAATCCTCACAATAACTCTATGGGAGGGAGTGGGAGTTGAAATTATTGTCCCTATTTTATGAATGAGAAAACTGAGGCACAGAGAGTGGTTTATTTTTTTTTAAGGCAACTGAACTAATGCAACTATTAAATTGTACAGGCAGAATTTGAACTTGGACAGGCTGACCCTGGCAGAGAAGGAGAGAGAGAGAGGAGAGGGTATGGTCTATGTGGAGAGGTCCCCCTGGAGAGGAAAAAGGGATCTATCCAATAGAATTTTCTGGAATGATGGGGCTGTCTGTTATTGGCACTGTCCAATATGGTAACCACATGTGGCTGTCGAACACTTCAAATGTGGCTAGTGGAGCTGAGGAACTGACATTCCGATTCTATTTAATTTTAATTGATTTAAATGAGAATAGCAACCAGTGGCCAGTGTCTCTCCTCCATTGGCCAGCCCAGATCTAGGGAACTTAGTGGGGTATAGCCCAGGACAAGGGGAGTCTGCACTTTGAAATGGAAATGGGGGAGAACTGCAGCCTGGCAAGTATTAATATATTGGGGTGGGGGGACGTTGTTGTGGCTCTTACCTGCTGTGTTAGATCTCAGGGAAGTGGGAGGCTGGGGTGTGGGGCAAAGCTTTGGATGAGCAGGAAGGGAGGAGAGGCTGGCTCAGAACCCTGCCCTAGGATGACTGCAGGCTGACATCTATGGAGCACTCGCTGTATGCCAGGCCCTGTGCTGAACAACTCTCATTTATTATCTCTTTTAGTCTTCACATCCGTCCATGAGGTAGGCACTATTATTATCTCCACTGAGCAGACAAGGAAACTGAGTCATCAATGGAGGTTCTGTATCAAAGGCCACAGAGAGTCAGAGGCTGTAAATGTGCAGTGACTAATGCACGGGGCTGTGGGATTTTCTTCAGGAACTCAAGCATATATAGGGATGAGTTCAACAGTGGGAGTAACCCAGGGTTGGGGGTAGGATTTCCAATAACCAACAGGACTTTGTGAGAGCCCCACATAGACTTGGAGGGAAAGGAGAGAAATCTGTGGGGGTGGGGGAGAGAGAGAGGAGAGAGAGAGAAAGAGAGGAGAAGGATGCAGAGGGAGGCAGAAGAGGGGGAGATATAGGAGAACCCCAGGAGTGGACTGCAGCCAGTCTGCAAGCTTCCAAGGACAGCTGAGCTCTGTGTGCGGAGCTTTCTCTTAGGAATCTAGGCTCCTTCTTCCTTCCAGCTGACTTGTCTCGCAGTATCCCCTCCCCCTAAAGCTAGGAATATCGCAGTTTCCTCCCCCCACTCCACATCCCAATTCTACCAGGAAAAGTTCATAG